ATGCAGCTTCCACCAAATTCGGTGAGATCCTTATTTATCTACCCGTTTGCCAGAAGAACATCCCTGTTGTATGATATGAACATTTCATGTCATGGTTATTGTGACTGTGACAAATCCACCTCGTCGCTTAAAACAACCTCTCTAACTTTGCGCGCCACACACACATTCCTGTTATACTGTGTTTGTGAGGACCAATACACTCGCGCTGAGATCAGTAGCTCTATTAACTTAAAACACACAAGCTGTTCCTGGTTACCTGCTGGCGTATTGAGGGTGCACACTTAATATTTCAGTGGGGTTAGCCATGTGTGTGTGTGTGTGTGTGTGTGTGTGTGTGTGGGTATGTGGGGGGTGTGGGTGTGTACGTGTTTATGCGGGGACTTGTCATCTTCAGTCTGGCTGCGTCTTTGCTGGGTTCAAACCCAGTTTGGTGTAATTGAATAAGTCAATGAAAAAAGAATTGTGTAAAAGAATTGTGTAAAAGAATTAAGTTGTAAAAATTATTTGTTTTTGTACATCAATTGTTTGTGGAGGTAATATATGGACAAAACTGATTAATGAGAAGAAATCAGAAATAAGAGAGCCTGAGGGGAGGGGCTTAAACTATTTAATGAGGGCTGTGGGAAGAAAAGCGGCAATTTTTGTTTTCTGTTTCTTTGTTACATTGCTGGTAACTGGAGGGAGGCTGAGGCCCAGAGTATCTTGTATATGTTTAGTTTCTTTTGCACCCTGTTTTGAGTTTTTGAGCTCAATAAATCACCAACACCGGTAACCCGACTGAGACTGGATTCTTGGAGGCCAAAGAACCCCGTCACAGTGACCCAAATCATCACTGTTACTGTTATTATATAGTAAATTAAATCATTACTGTTAAATTGTATGTATTGTCCAATTGTTTATTTGAATTCTTATTCCGGGTTAGTTGGAGACATACACTAGGCTATATCAGCCCCACCAAAAATATTTTTCACCAGCCGCCACTGTGATTGACCTATTAGTTAGTTTTACTGTTTTAATCCAGACTCCTGAGCTGCTTTGATGAGGAACAGCTGAGCTCAGGCTGTTCTCTACATTCCTCTGCTTGGTTCTGATTATGTGTCAAAACTGAAAGTGAACTCAAAGGAACAACTTTTTTGGTTGATAAAAGCTTGTTTCATTTTGGTCCTCAGCAAAGCGGATCCCAGGCCTATGGCAGACCATTTGACCCGAGGCGTAGCCAGAAATGTTTTATAAGGCGACCAACATACGCTGAGGGGTGGCCAAGAGTGGATAGGCACAGAACCCCGGGGTCAACCTACAGTGTTCCAACAGGAAAATTAACGAGCAAAACACCCATATTTTCTAAATAAAGACTAACTATACTTTCCTACAGCCTTTGCTAACAAATAGATGCATATATTCAAACATTCATAATTTCTAGATAGAAGGTATAGTAGATAAAACTCAGTTTTGTGTTCTGGGACGTAAATCTTTTCCATTGTCATTAATCACCTACTTGTATCAATAAACATTTTGAATAAAATTAATATTTACAAGCACCAATATCTACATAAATTTACCATTTGGTAAGTTGTTATTAAAATTGTTATTTATCTTTGATTTCACTGAAGACTCCTAGATCACTTACAGAGACACATCATTTTCTCTTTACCCCATAAAACACAAAATCTAGTTCTGGAAAGAGCATGAATTCTGTATTCATCATCTTTGATGTTAGTATATTGATGTGTATAATCAACCACAAAAAATAAAATGTTCTGAAAATTCCACTTGAGAGTATTACTGCTGCCAACATCTGTATAAGAGGGAAAAAAAGGTAGGGTGGCCACAAGGGAGGCCACTGATTGGCAAAGGATGGCCATGGCCACCCCTGTCCCCCCTTCTAGCTCCGCCTATGCATTTGACATTTATTAGCTTGACTCCTCCTATCTAAAATAAACATTTCAGATATCTGAGATGTAATTCTTACCACTACAAATGATGCCAGGTTTCCCATCCATTTGTATTGGGCTTTTATTTCCAGATACCTGAAATAACTGTCATGATCTGGCCTGTTTGCTCCTTAATTAGTAATCCCTTTCACTTGTCGTTTTCCCTCCCAGCCTCAATTATAATTTATTCCTCTCACCTGTTTCCTCTGGTTTATATTCAGTTCAGCCTGAGCATTCAGTGCCAGATCATTACTTGTCTTTCTGTCTGAGTTTATTTCATGGTTCATGTCCTGGATCCTAGCTGCCAGTGGAAAGAGGGTTTTTGTGTTTGTCTCGTCTCCTGATCGTCCACTGTTCCTCCCCCACGGAGTCCTCTGGGTTTTTGGCTCTTTATGTGGGGAGGTTCAGTTTTTATCCAGTAAGCCTGGCTCCAAGGAGGAGACCAGTTTAAAGTCCTGCTTCAAGTTCTGGTTCCACGTCCTGTCTCGGCTACCCTCTTCCACTGAGCCTGCCTGCCTGTCTGCACCTGATCCTGTCTGCTCCTGTGCGTGACCACCTGGTCATGCTTCTGGTCCCAGTCAGACTCTGAACCCTCCTTGGAGCCTGTGGATGCCTGGAAGTCTGGATCCTGCCACCTGTTTCTGTTCCTGCCTGATCCGGATTCTGTCTGTTCTGGATCCCCGACCAGGATCGGCTTCCAGCATGACCTCTGTTTATTTAATAAACGTTTTGAACGTTTATTTAATAAACGTTTTGAACTTTCCTACTCACTGTGTCTTCTTGAATACTGTCCATCTGTCCTTGGTTCATGACAATAACAGCCTTCGTATCTAACATAAACATTCTTTCTATCCAAAATTAATTCAGACGAGGATGAATTCTACTTTCAGTTCACAATAATAGAGTTACTGCTAGTCATAATTACTATTTCAGATATCAAAAATGAATATAACATTAAAGATTTACAAAAATAGAATTCTTGAAATTTAAAATATTTCTGCTAGTACAAATATAATTACAGAAATCATGCCTATCTAAAATGTTGCTTTAGATACCTTCAGAAGAATAATGAGGCTCCATTTTAACATAAAATAATCAGTCACATTTCTGTGATAGCACTAAAGCATTCTACCTTGTCACAATTACAATACTCAGAATTGTATTTTAGATATCACTTATTACATTTCTGCCACTAAAAAGCTAATACGCCAAGTACTCTGGAATCAAATTTGTACTACTAAGAACTACATTTCAGATATCTGAAATAGTAATTATGACTAGCAGTAAGTCTATCATTGAGATCTGAAATTAGAATTCATCTTCGTCAACATTCAGTTTTTTAAAGGAATAGTACACCCAAAACATGATTAGCCTTCATTTTCTACTCACCCCCATGCTGAACAACACTCTGGAGTACTTTTTTGATATCTCAAATGCATCTGGAGATCTGGGAGGCTTCTTGCTGTCTGCTGACATTCAAATAATGGAGGTCTATGGCGCCCGAGGCAGAAAGGTCCATAAAAGTCCACAAAAAACGTGTCAATATTCCTCCATACTGCTCGTCCAATGTATTCCAAGTGTCCTGAGTGGGTAGCATCCAGAATTTACTCGAAACGAAGTCATTTAGAATGTTTTTAGAGCATAAACAGTAGTGTATAGGATTTCCTAAAAGCGCGCGCCTGCGAGTTCACGACGCTACGGAAACCGCGGCAGACCAAACCAGATGAAAGTGCGTATTCAGCGTCTGCTCTGCCGATAATGCAAGCGTAGAAGAAGAAATGTGCTGTTTACCTGTGCAAAGAAAGAAACAACGAAAGAAAAATGTCTGAGGACTTCAGTGTTGAGGAAGAGCATGAGTTCTTTGCCGAGCTGAATGCGCACTTTCATCTGGTTTGTTCTGCCGCGGTTTCCGTAGGCTCGTGAACTCGCAGGCGCGCGCTTTTAGGAAATCCTATAAACTACTGTTTATGCTCTAAAAACATTCTAAATGACTTCGTTTCGAGTAAATTATGGACGCTACCCACTCAGGACACTTGGAATACATTGGACGAGCAGTATGGAGGAATATTGACACGTTTTTTGTGGACTTTTATGGACCTTTCTGCCTCGGGCACCGTAGACCTCCGATATTTGAATGTCAGCAGACAGCAAGAAGCCTCCCAGATCTCCAGATGCATTTGAGATATCAAAAAAGTACTCCAGAGTGTTGTTCAGCATGGGGGGTGAGTAGAAAATGAAGGCTAATCATGTTTTGGGTGTACTATTCCTTTAAGGCGCTTTCCAGTTCACCAGATCATCCAGTTAAATTGATTCAAAGTTTTCTATCTAAGGAAAACCAGCTCACTGCATCGACTCATTGACTCTTGAGCAATCCCTCACACTAAGCATGCTTGTAGTGATAGTGGAGAGGAAAAACAAACTTTTAACAGGAAGAAACCTCCAGCAGAACCAGCCTCAGTGTGAGCGGCCATCTGCTGAGGCCGACTGGGGTTCAAGGAGACAGAAGCAGACATAGAAAAAGAAGCATAGATACAAAATTGAAGATTAATTGATTGTAAAGAAGAAAGATTTTGTTCTTTTCATGGTTGTAGTGCTCAGACGACAAGAAAAAACGAAAAAAATCAAAATAATAGTGAAAGGTGCAGAAAAGTATCTTGAATTTTTAAGATTTAAACTAGGAAATGGTGGAAAGCATCATGGAGAAACCAGTAGGACCATCAGACACTGACAGAGTGACAATAACCTAAAGATAAATTAGAAATAATGAGGGCAAATATGATTAAAAGTTTATTATGTTGGGTTAAGTTAAACTGTTTTTTTTTTTCCTGGGGTGAGTCGTTTCCCGTTTCCTTGCTTTACTCCTTATCAGTTGGTGGCGGTAATGCACTTTTAATTAGTTTGTCAACCACCATAAAACCTCAGAAGAAGAAGAAGAAGAAGAAGGTGTTACAGTTTGAGCAAAGATGTTTAAAAAAGAGAAGATGACTAACTCCATGGCTGAAAGGTTCAAGTGAACCTTTCATCGTCCACTTTAGTATTTCTTTAGAACTACATGCGGCGGTTATCTGATCAGACGGATGAATTCTGGTGGAAGACCCAAATATTGCTTCATCTTTTTTTAAAGAAAGCATTCAATTCATTGTTTAGAGCGCTAAAGGACACATCTATCTGCATAGACGATCTTTGCGTGAAAGAAGATGGCGTCGCATGAGGGAATTGCGGCTCTGGTAGGACTTTGATAACAAACTGATTAGTTTCTGTGTAGCTGCGCTTACCGAAGGGTCTGAGAGCCGCTGCTGCCCAGGAAGCAGAGCCTGTCTGAGGGGGAAACACAGCTGAGACTTCGCGAAGCACCGAGAGACAGTTAGTGATTCCACGTGTTTCCACGACAGAGATGGTGAATAAGGCTGTGAGGAAAACATATCAGGATCTCCTCCTAGAGAGGATGCTGACCACAGCCTAAACATGCCAGGGTTCTGGTCCAATCACTAATCAGTTCACAGAGAAGTCACTCAGATGTTAGAGCAGATATTTTGATAGAAATGGAGCAAACAGAATGATGAGCATCACAGTCATATTGATGTGGAAATGAAATGGCAGATAAAGCTGCAAAGGAGGCCACAGCAAGAGAAACCATGGATGTGTCAGTTAAAATGAGTAAGATTGAAACAAAGAACTTTATTAAACAGAAGCTGAAGGAAAGGTGGCAAAAGCAACGGAAAGAAGAGAGGAAAGGACAGTTTGACACGATTCAGAGGAGAGAGGGAGAAATGAGATGTGCAGGAAGGAACAGAAGAGAATAAACTATTATATCAAGACTTAGTGGATTAAACAATATTTTATTCAACACAGGTAAACAGAACAGCGGTAGGTGACAATGGAACATGTTATGGTTCGCTGTAAGAAGTATGAAAGAAAAAGGAGAGAAATTATTCAAAATCCTAAAAAGGAAAGAATACACTTTGATTTAATAGAAATACTTAGAACACAACAGATAAGTGTTTTTCATTATCTTGGTTTAATTAATGTAATTGAGAGGATTTGACTCTAATTTTATTTTTGTTGATTTTATTGTGATTTGTGTTTTCAGTATAAATAAGCAGTAGCCATTCAGATCCACACTCCATACCAGTTGGTGGCGGTAATGCTCCATGAGGTTGCTTTAAAACCGCCAGTAAAATCCCATAAAGAAGAAGAAAAGGGTGGAGGTTGTATTTGCATGAGAAACAACCTCCTCTTATTTTAAAACCATGGAGGGTACGATGGTGCATTAGGAGCATTCAAATACGAAAAACAAAGAATGGAATTTAAACCTTTGAGTTGAAAGTGGCATATTTACGAGAATAAACTTAATTACGGCTAAAAACACCCAATTTTACGAGATTAAAAACATGCAAAATTCACAACATGTCATCTCAAGGCACTTTACAGTTCACCAGATCATCCAGTCAGATTAATTAAAAGTTTTCTATCTATGGAAAACCAGCTGATTGCATCGACTCAAAGGCAATCCCTCACACTAAGCATGCTTGTAGCGACAGTGGAGAGGAAAACTCCCTTTGAACAGGAAGAAACCTCCAGCAGAACCAGGCTCAGTGTGAGCGGCCATCTGCTGAGGCCCACTGGGGTTCAAGGAGACAGAAGCAGACATAGAAAAAGAAGCATAGATACAAAAAGAAACTGTAAAAGGCGGCCCTGTCCAGGAAACACATAGCAAAGCAAATAGCTCCCATGTCAGAGGATAAAAAGAGAGCACATCCAGTTAGTCACAGTTAGAGAAACAGGACCACACTGAAAAACAGGCTGATCTCCAACATCTAGAAACAAAGGTGTTGATGGCAGCAGCACAGCTGATATTTCTCTCCAGGATGGAGTCACAGCCAAACAGGAACAGACCAGATGAAGCTACTATGAGAAAAAGCAGAGAGAGCAGAACGTTAGAGATTGAACTACCAGATTCTGCAGAGTGGGAGAATAGAGATAGAATGAAGCAGAATTTAGAATGTAATATTTTTTTCTTTTTAAATGTCCCAAATATGGCGATGTTATCGGGTGTCCCAAGCAGTCAGAAGAGAGAAGAATCAGAGACAGTCCATCCCTGATAGAGGGGGCCTCTTTGCCCATGTTTTTCCATTCCAGCTTTAATGCTTTCAGACTGCAGGCAATATGGATCAAGCCATGCTTTTTATTTTAGTTTTTATTTTTATTTTTTTTGGGGGGGGGTCCATAGAACTTGATAGTAATTGCTTAGAGCTCTACAGGTGTTCAGCTAAACTTGGTTCTGATGACCAGGAAATGACTTGCAGACGTCCTACTAAACAAGTTCTGGACATGATCATATTTTCAGGATGATGGATGTAATCTTTCTAAAATTGACATCAGTTCTCCTGCACACCAGGCACCATGTCTTTAAAGACAGTGTCTTTGTTCACAGGGGGTGGAAGGAGCCTCAGCGGCGGCACACGCTCTGTCCCTGCCAGCTGAAGCCTACGGAAATGACGTGAGTGAACATTTTATCGTAGGACCGTCTACAAAGAGAAGGATTCAAAAATGTTTGTGTGAGAATGAGCTTAGAATGCGGTTTGTCTTTCAGCCACGGCTTGAAGTCATGTGGGCGATGAAGGCCTACAACCACGCTGAGATCTACTTCAACGTAACGCTTCCCTTTTTCTCCTGACTTCCACACTGAAGATACTCATCAAACTCCAGCTTTCTGATTCAATCTGTTTGCTTTACCTCTTTCAGCTCATTTCATCTGTTGATCCAAAGTTCCTGAAGCTGACGAAGGTGGACGACCGGATCTACTCCAGCTTCAGAGAAACCTTCAAAGAGCTTGATGTGAAGCAGCTGAAAGAAGAAGACTTGAAGTCGATTGAGGCCAAAGAGGTCAGTTTGTTTCTGCTGCAGGTGTCAGAAATGACAGAAATCCAGAAGAGATAATATTCTAGCAGGTCGATCACATCAGTGTTTCATAGTTCTTCTAAAATTAGAGTGAAGCTTAAATGCTGGGCTGATGATTGTGGTCATTATGTCCTACAGGAGCTTAAGCCTGTAGTAGAATGAAGTCTGCATGGGAAACAACAAACATCATCCTAAAGTGAAGAACTGGTGCTATAGATGTAGTTTTGATGTCATCCTAATGTTCATTCATCTGTCAGGTTATCATACAGGGGATTGAAATAATTAAAAATCAGGATTTTTACCACTTGCCCTTCGGGCAGTGACTTTCGCATTTCATTTGCCCAGAAACAATTTTTACTTGCCCAGTATAATGTTTGATAAATATAGTTCCTAATATTAATTTTTGTATATATATCAATGAAACATGTTTGTTTTTTAAATGTTTTTTGTAATTGAGTATTTTTTAAGTTTCCAGGTTCCTGGTGTGTATCTGCATGCGTCCGATAATGAACTCCAGCCTTCATTACCGTGTTAACATGCTTTTCAATCCTTCCTGCACATTCTTTTCAAACTAAACTTTGCTTTAAACTGTTGTGTGCTTGGAAAAATATAAATTGTAATGTTAAAAATAAAAAAAAAACTTGACAGGTTAAATACTTACACTACTACTACTCACCAATCTAACATGTTTAGCTCTATAACATTTAAATGCACCACTCCAATGTCTGAGAGAAAGAAATTGAATGAACTTTTTTTAATGTATGACCTGCATCACTGTACAGAAGACTATGATAGAAATATTTACACTGTGCGCATATAATAATAATAATAAATTTCCTAATCCCTGACTGATCATTTTTAATCCAGTGTGTATTATAGTATAGATCAAATTCATCATCCAGCTGCTGCTCTGCAGAATTCTCTCCTCAAGGAGAGAAAAATCACGCGGCTTTTTCAAATCACGCAAGAATGTGTACAAAACAACAAAAATAGCGCCGCTTGTGGGTCGTTTTCAGCAAATGTCTGTGATTTTTAAAGTAATTTTGAGCGATAAATAATTTTTTTTTGCGATCATTGCACTTGCCCAGCGGGCAAAAATGAAATTTATACTCTCCCTACAATAAAAACTACTTGCCCCGGGCGATCGGGCGATGGTTAACATCGAGCCCTGAAAATGCTTGAATTTTGAGTCTGGCGCTTGTAAATGCTTGATATTGTAATTTTATATCACAACAAATAGAAACCTTACATAATAAACTGCTTGTTAAAGACAAAAATAAAGTAGTAAAATAAAAAAAATGTTAACCTCCTCTGCGCCTCATGCAAGCTTTCTCATTAGCATTGTGCTAGCCTCTGGTTATGACGACGTAGCACCCAAACGGACAGAGCAACCAAGGCGAGTGTGCCCCTGTGGGCTTATGCCATCTTAAGAGTATCGGAACATCTTGTGGATGGAAAAAGTAGGAATCAAAATTTCCCACAATGCACCTTGAAAGGTCACTAAACGGACAGATATATCCCAGATTGCTTGGCAAGATCTCTCCTTGCAATGCATCATGGGATTTGTTGTAAAAATGGCGCAGACACCGTCCGGAAGGGCGGAGTTACGTGACCAACAGGGAGCGAAAAGCTGTGATCATCTGTCAGAGCGTTCAGTTTAAAGTCCACCATATAGTGCCCCGCTCTATATATTATATGTGATTGAAGGATTTAGGGGTTAGCGCTGACGTTCAATCGCATACGGTTGTAATTTTTATCAGCTGTGGCTGGAGAATGAAATATAGACCGTGGCTCAAACATGGAGCAAAATAATGTTTAGCGAACTGCAAAGTTTGAAGAAAAGAGATTTTTTTCCACAGTTGAGTCTAATTTCGGGCCACTGGAGGGCGCTGCTGCTGATGTTGGTGAGATGTATCGTGTTCACTTCCTGTTTTGAGTGCTGCGTAATGTTCAGGCTGTCTCCGTATTTAAGTAACTAACTGTCCAGAAGCATTTTAAAACGTAGCGCCTCCTGCTGCACTTCTCTACTCAGCACTTATTGCTTTCAAAGGGTTTTATTTCTGGTAGTAGGAGTAGCTAGCCTAGGCTAGCACTAGCTTAGCATTGCTAAGGCGTCTCTCTCTCCCTCCCTTGACTCTTTTCCAACTCTTCCTTCTTCCTCTCCTGCTCTCTGTATCAGATGTTCAGTTATTCCTCTGCCTCCTTTAGTGATAATGGGATGTGTAATAAGTGTAGTATTTTAGTAGCTTTGGAGGCGAGGGTGTCAGAGTTAGAATCCAGGCTTCAGGCTGTTGAACATCCAGGAGTTAAAGTAGGCCCCCCTGTTAAGCCACCAAGACCAGGGAAAGCCCCACATACAGGTGCTGGTCATAAAATTAGAATATCATGAAAAAGTAGATTGATTTCAGTAATTCCATTTAAAAAGTGAAACTTGTATATTATATTCATACATTACATACAAACTCATATATTTCAGATGTTTATTTTGTTTAATTTTGATGATTACAAATGACAACAAATGAAAATCTCAAATTCATCATATCAGAAAATTAGAATATTACTGAAGACCAATAAAAACAAAGGATTTATAGAAATGTTGGCCAACTGAAAAGTATGAACATGAAAAGTATGAGCATGTACAGCACTCAGTATTTAGTTGGGCCTCCTTTGGCCTGTATTACTGCAGCAATGCGGCGTGGCATGGAGTCGATCAGTCTGTGGCACTGCTCAGGTGTTATGATAGCCCAGGTTGCTCTAATAGTGGCTTTTAGCTCTTCTGAATTGTTGGGTCTGGTGTATTGCATCTTCTTCTTCACAATACCCCATAGATTTTCTATGGGGTTAAGGTCAGGAGAGTTTGCTGGCCAATTAAGAACAGGGATACCATGGTCCTTCAACCAGGTACTGGTAGCTTTGGCACTGTGTGCAGGTGCCAAGTCCTGTTGGAAAATGAAATCTGCATCTCCAAAAAGTTGGTCAGCTGCAGGAAGCATGAAGTGCTCTAAAACTTCCTGGTATGTGGCTGCGTTGACCCTGGACCTCAGAAAACACAATGGACCAACACCAGCAGATGACATGGCACCCCAAACCATCACTGACTGTGGAAACTTTACACTGGACTTCAAGCAACGTGGATGAAGTGCCTCTCTTCTTTTCCTCCAGACTCTGGGACTTAGATTTCCAAAGGAAATGCAAAATTTACTTTCATCAGAGAACATGACTTTGGACCACTCACCAGCAGTCCAGTCCTGTTTCTCTTTAGCCGCTTCTGACGCTGTCTGTGGTTCAAGAGTGGCTTGACACAAGGAATGCGACAGCAGAAACCCATGTCTTTCATACGTCTGTGTGTGGTGGTTCTTGAAGCACTCACTCCAGCTGCAGTCCACTCTTTGTGAATCTCCCCCACATTTTTGAATGGGTTTTGTTTCACAATCCTCTCCAGGGTGCGGTTATCTCTCTTGCTTGTACACTTTTTTCGACCACATCTTTTCCTTCCCTTCGCCTCTCTATTAATGTGCTTGGACACTGAGCTCTGTGAACAGCCAGCCTCTTTAGCGATGACCTTTCGTGTCTTGCCCTCCTTGTGCAAGGTGTCGATGGTCGTCTTTTGGACAACTGTCAAGTCAGCAGTCTTCCCCATGATTGTGTAGCCTATAGAACTAGACTGAAAGACCATTTAAAGGCTTTTGCAGGTGGTTTGAGTTAATTAGCTGATTAGAGTGTGGCACCAGGGGCCATCAATTTTGAACCTTTTCACAATATTCTAATTTTCTGATATGATGAATTTGAGATTTTCATTTGTTGTCATTTGTAATCATCAAAATTAAACAAAATAAACATCTGAAATATATGAGTTTGTATGTAATGTATGAATATAATATACAAGTTTCACTTTTTAAATGGAATTACTGAAATCAATCTACTTTTTCATGATATTCTAATTTTATGACCAGCACCTGTAGTTGTCCTTACAAAAGTGCCTGAGCAGCCAGGCGATTGGGTAACTGTACGCAGAAAGCGTAGAAGTGGATCTCTGCCCACTGGTCACCACCAACCCGTTCACGTTTCTAACCGATTTTCCAGGATGAAGTCACAGCCACAAAGGAACACACCAGATGAACTAACAAATGGGAAACAGAATGGGAAAATAGAAATAGGATGATGAAAGGGGTGCCTATGTCCTCCAGCAGTCTAAGCCTATAGCAGCACGAATGCTCAGGAAATATATTCTGGATGAGGTATGAGAAAGAAGGAGCCAACAAAGATGAAGTGTTTTATTGATTTCAAGCACTGCAGCACATTTTTATAAATTCTGACCAGCTATTAGCATTATCTCTGTCTTTGGAGCAAAATCATTCAGAATGGAAATATCCTCACATCAATGTGCTTTTATTTATATGACGTCAATTCACTTCATTTCGTCTCAAGGCACTTTACGATGTTCCACCAGACAAAGCGGTCAAAAATTTTCCTCCCTGAGGAAACCCAGCAGATTTCATCGAGCTTTGAAAAGCAGCATTCACTTCTCCTCAAGGAGCGTAGAGACACCGATGTTAATAAAAACAGACATTGCCATTTTGCATGTCAATTAATTTGTATCACATTAAGCTATTTACAAATGGTTAAAAAAAATGAAATGTGACCTTGAAAGTGAGCTTTAAGATGTCTGAACCCTGATTTGTGTTCTGTCCTTGTGCTTGCGCAGAGGTGGCGCGCTTTCTGCAACCAGTTTGAGGGCATTGTGGAAGATTTCAACTACGGCACCCTGCTGCGTCTGGACTGTGAGAAGGACTACAGCGAAGAAAATACCATATTTGGTGAGCATCTCAGGGGACAAGAGGTTGTCTTTGAAAGGCAGAAACTAAAGTTTTTCTTTTGGTGGTTTCAGCCACCAGAGTCCAGTTCTTTGCTGTGGAGATTGCCCGGAACAGAGAAGGCTGCAACGACACCGTGTTCAGATCCAAACAGTCTAAAAGCTAACCTCCAGATGTACCGGCGTGAACCCATTTCATCCAGCTGCTTGCATGTCCTTGGTGCCATTTATCTTCCAACTTTTTTGTTTATAATTCCTTTATAGATTCATTTATTTTCTGCTTCTATTGGAACTATGTGCAAAAATAAAACATTTTAATACACAATCTGCAGTTTACCTTAGTGTCTGGGCCTGTTCTCTGACCTCCCAGAAGAAATAATTTAACAGAAATGTCCTCATCTCCCTTGGTTGATGGTAAGATGGAGTCTGATCTGGTTTCAGTTCATTTTATTTCCATAGCACCGATTCACAACACGCCATCTCAAGGCCCTTTCCAGTTCACCAGATCATCCAGTCAAACTGATTCAAAGTTTTCTATATAAGGAAAACCAGAGGCTGCACTGACTCATTGACTCAAAGGCAATCCTTCACACTAAGCATGCTTGTAGCGACAGTGGAGAGGAACAACTCCCTTTTAGTGTTAGCTGCCATCTGCTGTGACCGACTGGGGTTCAAGGAGACAGAAGCAAACATAGAAAAAGAAGCATAGATACAAAAGGCAACTGTCAACCAGCTCCACAGGTGGCGCCGTCCAGGCAGAAGAGCTCTGAGCCAGCTCCCATGTCAGAGGATGAAGAGAGCACATCCAGTTAGTCACAGGCTCTGTTCGAAAACCTAGGACGGGTCCTCCAAGGACGCGGTCTACCTAGACTGGATCCTTCGAAGTCCTTGAAAATAAGGAGACCGGAAGAGTTCTGGCTGTGAATTCGACCAGGTCTACCCTTTGGCGGGTTTTACCGCCGTATGCTCTGTTGCTTAGCAACCGTGAACGTTGACACACAAAGCAGGAAAAAAATGAATACAGAAGTTTTCAAAACTGTTTATTTATTTCTTTTTTATTGTGAAGTGAACAAAGACTACACTCACGAGAATCCAGAGTGGAATAAATGTTCCAACAGCCGGGAGCAGGAACAAATAAAATCAAATGTATAGGAACCTTAGTCAGTTAAATAACCTGCTGCTGTCATTCTGCACATCTCTGATGTTGCTGCTATTTTCAAATATCCATTACTGTAAAAATGTCCATAGCTGCATATTGGTTATTTATTCCCCAGTTTTATATTGTTAAAGCACTTTACAGGATTGTATTGTTTATATTTTAACTCTTCCTTATTATGTTATTCTTATACATTTTTCTAAGGTCCTCATTTGTGTGACCATTTTCAATAATCTTTCTGCTGCTGTAAATTTTCCCATTGTGGGAAAATAAAGGGATTTTCTATTCTATAAAAGGGGTAGAAAGATATAAGTAAATCTAAATATATTTATTAAAAAATATATCTGCAAAATCTCTAATATTCAACAACAAAAAATACGAAGTTAAGCATATTGTGCAAAATAGCAATAAAAAGATAAAAATCCTATCAGATTTATAGTCCCCACCCTGCAGATATATTAGAATCTGTCCTTAAATTCCAGCCAAACCCATTTACACAGTAACAGATAAAAACCTTTAGATAAACCAAACATTACTGCCACATATCTGACTCAGTAACCATTAAAACAACTATTTTTCATTAATCTCAGACGGAACTATTAAATGACTTGTATTATATTAAACTGAACTTCCTATTTTCACCACTGTTCGGCGCCAAGTAACCTTTCCTCTGATCACAGCTTGCTTGGTCTCGTAATGAATCCTGGGATATCCAAGAATACCGAGGATACATCAGACCCGTCCTTCAAATCGGGCAAAAAGAAGGACGCATTTTAAGGCCGCATAACGAGGACTCTTGGAATCCGACCAGACCTCGGCGCCGCGCTATGACGTAATCGTACTTCGAATCTGGCCTTCTAAGGATGCGTCCTAGGTTTTCGAACAGAGCCACAGTCAGAGAAACAGGACTACACTGAAAAACAGGCCGACCTCCAACATCTTTAAACAAAGGTGTTGATGGAAGCAGCATCAATAATTTGGATGCTTACCAGCGGTGGTTTGTGATTAGTTACATTTACATGAGTAAAAATTTGTACACAATCTTTTGCTGTACTTCCTACTTTTACTTGAGTAATATTCTTGTAAAGTATCGCTGCTCCTACTATAGTAAAATCTCTGACTGTTGCAGATTCCTTCTTCTGTGAGTCTTTAGAACAATTACAAAATCAGGTAAACATCCAGATAACAGTGGAAGTGCGTTATACTTTCAATTCAGTTTTATATAGCGCCAATTCACAACACAAGTAATCTCAAGGCACTTTCCAGTTCACCAGATCATCCAGTTAGATTGATTCAAAGTTTTCTATCTAAGGAAAACCAGCTGATTGCATCAACTCATTGACTCGACAGCAATCCCTCACACTAAGCATGCTGGTAGCAACAGTGGAGAGGAAAAACTCCCTATGAACTGGAAGAAACCTCCCAGGAAACAAACAGCCAGGCAGAAGAGCTCAGAGCCAACTACCATGACAGAGGATGAAGAGAACACATCCAGCCAGTCACAGTCAGAGAAACAGGACTACACTGGAAAACCTATAGCAGCATAACTATAGAGATAGCTCAGGATAACCTGAGCCACTCTATAAGCTTTATCAAAAAGGAAAGTTTTAAGCCTAGCCTTAAAAGTAGACAGGGTGTCTGCCTCACGGACTAAAACTGGTAGTTGGTTCCACAGGAGAGGAGCCTGATAACTAAAAGATCTGCCTCCCATTCTATTTTTAGAAATTCTAGGAACCACTAGTAAACCTGCAGATTGAGAGCGAAGTGCTCTGTTAGGAACAGAAGGAACAATCAGATCTCTGATATCAGATGGAGCTTGGCCATTTAAGGCTTTATATGTGAGAAGGAGGATTTTAAATTCTATTCTGGATTTAACAGGAAGCCAATGAAGAGAAGCCAGGATAGGAGAGATATGATCTCTCTTTTAAATTTTAATCAGAACTCTGGCTGCAGCATTTTGGATCAGCTGAAGGCTTTTAACTACAGTTTGTGGACTTCCTGATAGTAAAGAATTACAATAGTCCAGCCTTGAAGTAACAAATGCATGGACTAGTTTCTCAGCATCACCCCTGGACAGGAGATTTCTAATTTTTGCAATATTTCTCAGATGAAAGATGAAAGAAGGAAATTCTAGAAACCTCTTTGATCTGGGATTTAAATGACAGGTCCTGATCAAAAATAACACCAAGATTTTTTACTTTATTATCTGAAATCAGTTTAATCCCATCCAAATGAAGTGACTGGCTAATCAGCTTCTTTTTCAGAGACTCTGGTCCAAAGACTATAACTTCTGTTTTGTCTGCATTCAGAAGCAGAAAGTTAAGAGTCATCCAGGTTTTTATGTCTTCAGACATGCCTGTAATCTATGTAATGAGTTAGCTTCATCTGGATTTATGGACAGATATAGCTGGGTATCATCAGCATAACAGTGGAAATTAATTCCATGCTGTCTAATAACTCTACCAATTGGGAGCATGTATAAAGTAAAGAGAATTGGTCCTAGCACTGATCCCTGTGGTACTCCACAGGTAACCTTTGAGCATGATGAAGATCTGTCATTAACATGAACAAACTGAAATCGATCAGATATATAAGATTTAAACCAGTCTAGTGCTGTTCCTTTAATTCCAACAAAATATTCAAGTCTTTCTAAAAGAATATTATGATCAACTGTATCAAATGCAGCACTAAGATCCAACAGGACGAGCACAGATACAAGTCCATTATCTGAGGCCATGAGAATATCATTAGTGACTTTCACCAGAGCTGTTTCAGTGCTATGATGAGCTCTAAAGCCAGACTGAAACTCTTCAAAAAGTTCATTATGGTGTAAATGATCACACACTTGTTTGGCAACTACTTTCTCAAGAATTTTAGATACTGTAAGAAAGGAAGATTGGATATAGGTCTATAATTGACCAAGTCATCTGGGTCAAGAGACGGTTTCTTAAGCAGAGGTTTAATTCCAGCAACCTTAAAAGCTTTAGGTACATATCCCTGTAACAGAGATAGATTAATCACATCTAAAATGGAGGAGGAGATCAAAGGGAATACCTCCTTAAATAACCTGGTTGGAACTGGATCTTACTCTGAAAGTTCAACTGGGTCAAAGCAGTCTAAACCCGGTTCATATTCCATGACTACCTCAGATGCTGCCTCACCTTCCAGAGATAAACCAATTGTAGTTAGAGTGCTAATGATCTTAGTTATAATATGATCGAATTTATTTATAAAGAATCCCATAAAATCATTGCTGCTAAGAGCAGGTGGAATGGACGGTTCAACAGAGCTATGGCTCTGGGTGAGTTTGGCAACTTTATTAAAAAGAAATCTAGGATTATTCTTATTCTCCTCTATTAATGAGGAGAAATATGCTGCTCTTGCTTTACAAAGGGTCCTCTTATACAGCAGTAAAAAAAATTTCCAGACTAAGAAGGACTCCCGTAGGCCTGTGGAGCGATATTTTCTTTCCAGTTTCCTAGCATTTTGCTTCAAAGTGGCACAGCTCTGCATTAAACTAAGGAGCTAGCTTTCTATTTTTAACGGTTTTGGGGTCATCAGTAACTTTGCCATTCAAATTAAGTTTTATTTGTCTTTGCTTTTCAAGTTTGAAGAAATAGCTAGAGTTTTGTTCTCCCTCTTCTAACCATTTAGCTTGTGAACGTACACATGCTCATTTTGCTTTATTAATGTAAATTTGATCAAGTTTAATTTGAAGGCTTTGTAACTTCGCTCTCTGTTGTTAAATGATAATTGATAAATTGTGAGGAAGAGTAGAAGACAATGAAATCAGCTCAGAGACCAACTTTATTTTCTCCTTTATGCTATTTTTTATTCTACTTGGCCCAGCTTTACTTAAGATCTTTCATAATTCATATTTTAAAAGCTCCCAGTAACGTCCATAGTTTTTTTTCAAATTGTGTTTGTTTTAAGAGTTCTGCAATTTTTAATTTTTGATTGCTAAACAAACAATTTTTTTGTTAAGAAGGGAGTTATTCGTCTTCCAATAGGCAGGGTTCCTTTTAGTAGTTCTATCAGGGGAAATACAACAAAATGCCTTTATGATCAGTAAGGGGTGCTTGAATAATCTCAGCTTTGCAGTTGGAATGTTGTCAGGAGGCAGATATTAGCCAAAAGTCCATACTTGAGTGTTGTGAGCCAGCTTTATTTATCCATGTAAAGTTTTTTAAGTTTGGATTATTCACCCTCCAAATATCTATTAAACCTAACTCATTCATAAAGTCAACAATCTGAGAATTTATTCTATGCTTGCTAGGCCATCTGTCAACATCATCATTAACAGTGATGTTGAAATCTCCTCCTAAAATTATTTTAATATCGTTAAATTTTTTAAGATAAGCATCAATACTGGCGTCAATGTTTCAAATAGCCTGACATTTTCCTTGGTGTCATTATATCCATCAATGTTGCTAATGAGAAAGAGAAATTTATCACATTTGATAACAGTGAGAATATAGTGTCCATATGGGTCGGCTTCGGTGGAGATTATGCTGCCATTAAATTTCTGTTTCAAAGTTAATGAGTTCCACAAATCCTCTCCCCCCTGAGCTTTCCAAAGTTTATAGTCACTGTCCATGGAATGAGTCTCCTGAAGCAAACAAAAATCAGCACCATCATTTTTTGAAAACAGAAAGAAAGCTTTTCTTTTAGTGATACCCCTCAGTCCTCCAGCTTTAACTGAGAATAATTTTAACATTGTAACGAAAAACCAAACCAGACAAGTGTTTGAGTTTTAATCAAACTTAACTGGGAACATAGAAGTTTTCCTCCATAACAAGTTGAATGGGATCTGACGAAACAGTCATTCAATTTCCTTTCTGTCAATAAAACCTCGTCCTCCTACAAAGTAAGCGATCTTCTTATGCTTTAGGGCTTGTTGGATTGTTGGCCACAGCCGGTCTTCCAAAGAAAGATCTTCTTTGAACAGGAGGTTTCTTTGCTTCAAGTAGCCAGAGTTCTTTGCCGTTTTCCAGATCATGTTGCGTAAATGCTTCATAGAGAATTGGATGATGATATCTCAAGGGTGTGGTTTGTTTGGATGTATTCTACCTAGCCGATATACTTAATCAATCACCTCCAGAAGCTTCTTCTTGTAGTTTGGAATTATATTCTCACATACTTCCATCACCTTGAGCCTAACATCCTCCGCTCCTTCTTCAGGCATGCTGCAGAGCCGTAGATTCTACCGCTTCCTCTGCTTGAATCTTTTCCTCAGCTTTGCTGACTCAGCTGACCATGCTGAGATTTTTGATATCTTGTATGTCAGTGGAAAAAAAAATTAATAGTGGACTTCAAGTCATCGATGGATTTCCCAATAGATGCCCCTTGCTCCTCAATAGCTAGCTTTAGCACCGTTATCACATTCTCTGCTGTGGCTTGCTCCATTTGAATTTTCTAGGTAGATGGTGACTTCGTAGGAGTAGGTACCAGATAACCTTCAGTTTTGCATTTTGTTGTCGAGGTTGAAGACATTACAAATATATTCTGTCTATAAAGTTGTAGGAAAGTATTGTCCCGTCAGCAAGGCCAAATGATGTCGGCACCACGATGGTACCTTAGTTCAACGGACCTATTTAGTTCAGGGACCAGTCTCATGATTGGCTCCGTCGCACCGTGTCCCTGCTGTGATCCGCTCCTCTTGCTCCTGCATATACAAACACACGCTGGGCAGAAGCATTGACTGTGGAGTCAGGAGATATTGGTTTTGTCCTCCCAACAAGGCAAAACCCTGCAGCTGTCAGTGGAAAACGTTAAGGCTGATTTATACTTCGAAACCAGCTCCTCTGCTTAGGTGTCGCAGTGACCAAAAAACCGTCCCCGCCCCCTCCGCTGCTCCTCTCCCAAAATGTAACTGACCGCAGACAGGAGGCTGGCTTGTAAAACTGCAAAATCATGGAATAAAACAAAAAAGAAATCATGCACAATCCAAAATATTTAAAGATTAACACTTTTAAAGTAAAACCAATTTCCACTGTGTGACACAAGCACCATAAATGAAGCAGCACGCGTGTGGCTAGCTTCCAGCCATGGCGTCCTGCACGAGCATTGGGGGGTCGATTAGTTCATGTAGCAGGGTACTCACACGGGGGAGGGACCACCAGACAACCATGATTGACGTGTCAGGAACCAATCGTGTACAACGGACGTCTTTTGTGATTGGTTGGGGTTATTCATTAATTTCTCACTGTATTGAATATTTATTTTAGTTTCACTTCCAGACTTTCTATTTCACTGCTCGCTAAGCGGCTGTGGGGAGATCTTTAAACCACATGGTAAAAAATCCATCATGAAAAGATCACCTACTGCACCTTTAAACGGATTAGAACTATGTCATTAGGGATCAAAGTATTGGTTCAGGGTTTGTCCCTAGACTCTGTGATTCTCCGTCCATATTGTAGAAGCTCCAACTTGTCCTGAAGTGGATGATTGAGGAGAGGATAAAGTTTTACCTTTTGAGTGATGGTCTTTCAAAATGTTTTGTTTGATTATAAAATTGACGACTAATCCTTTTCCCCAGCCATATTTACTGTTAATTTAATTTCACAACCACTTCAGTAGACCTCACAGGTACCAGAATATTCCTCCAAGCCAATGGGGACCCTGGGAAGGCAAGGCAAGGCAAGGCAAATTTATTTGTATAGCACAATTCAGTAGAAAGTCAATGCAAAGTGCTTTACATGATTAAAATACAGGAAAATAAAACAGAATCAAAGCAAGTAGGAAAAAAAAAATAAAAAAATAAAAAATGCAGAAACAAAATAGAACATTAAAAACATTTTGACTAAAGAAAATAAAAAAAGTTGAGCTAATGATGTTTCAGTTGAACTGTTTAACTTGAACAGTCGAAGGCAATCCTAAACAAATGTGTTTTTAGTCTTGATTTAAGGTAAGGTAACTATAACCCTGAAATGCTGGCAGCCAGTCTTCAAGTTCAGATATTCTTCAAACACTGGATGTTAATCTCATTCAAGTTAAACTATAAACCGTTTATTTTTTAACGCTACTCTGTTTACTGATTATCTCACACAACAAACCCCTTTTGGACAATAAAATTCAACAGCACTCTCCTCTCTGTTGTTCCATTTATAGATAACTACAAATAACATTCTTCCTGATAAAAATCACACTCCTAGACTGAACTGTAATAATATATTTTTTAAATGACATTTTTGTCGGAGAAACTGAATTTTAGAGCAGAAAAAAATACATAAAACTAAATTATACTAGTAATAATTAAGTTTTATATATGTAGAAATGTTTATGTATTCCAAGTGGCTATTTAGACATTTATCAGCTTGACTGAAATGTATTTATACCTGGAATAAATTTCCTCATAGTCAAAAATGAGGACCTATAAATAAGGAATATGGAAATCTGAAATTAATTTATAAACATCTAGAATGTTTATTCTTGATGTGGAGAATGTCATTTTGTTTGACATGGTCATTTAAACTATCAGGAATACATATTCAGTAAAACTAATACATATCAAAATGGCTTGCCATAGCCTGTTGTGACCATGATGTCATTAGGGTTTATTTCTTGAATGGTAGTAGATCAATGAATCTATTTAGGTGAAATCTTCTTCCTTTTACTCCGGCAGAATTAAATAATCTATTTGTGTAATCTGAAAAACATTTTAGTAGTTCTACATTTACTGTTAATATAACTAAATAAAACAATCCACGTCGCTCATATTAAACAAACCATAGACACATAAATCTCCCTATAAATATTTAATTCTCTGTGCAAAAGTGCCGATCATTCTTTAATAAGATCAGAGGCGCAGCCAGAACATTTAATTGGGGGTGGCCAGTCAAAAACCAATGTACACTGAGGGGGGGCTGAAAGCAGAGAGGTGTAAGAACCTCAGGGTCAATCCACACAGTTCCAACAGGAACGAACACAACATCCATATTTTCTAAATAAAGACAAACTTTACTTCCCTGCAGCCTTTGCTAACAAATAGACGCATCTATTTAAACATCTATGCTGTCTAAATTAAAGCTAGAGTGGACCAGATTTCTGGGGCGAACATCTTTTCCACCGTCATTACTTACCTACTTTAACCAAACGTTGTTCTGCATAAAAGTAATATTTACCTGTACTAATATCTACATTAATGGATGTTTATGTTATTAAATTATTTATCTATGATTTCACTGAAGACTTTTAGATGACTTGCAGAGATGCCTCATTTTCTCCTTACCTCATATAACCAATCTAGTTCTAAAAAGAGCAGGAATTCTGTATCTTTTTGTGTTTATATTGATGTGCGTAATTAACCTCAGCGCTTTAGTTGTCAAGTAATTAATAGTAATAGTAAAAATGTTTAATAAGTTTCAACATTCCCCTCGAGAGGGTTTCTGCTGCTACAGTCTGTATTAGAGGGAAAAAAATGGTAGGGGTGGCCAATGATATCCCATGGTCACCTCAGGCCACCGATCTAGCTCCGCCCCTGAATAAAAGCTCTTTAGTTATTATTCTTTACCGTAAAAGTTTAGAAAAAACGATCTACTGGACTTGGTTTTTAAGGTTTGAAGACGTTTCGCAGGAAGCTTTCTCAATTGAATTGAGAAAGCTTCCTGCGAAACGTCTTCAAACCTTGAAACCCAAGTCCAGTAGATCGTTTTTTCTAAACTTTTACAGAATGACTATAACCTGGATGACTGAGAATCTTCATCAGCTTATGCTGCTATAGGCGTAGGCTGCTTGAGGACATTTGGACCACTTTTTTTTATCAAACTTCATTTTGGGTTTATTGTAGTTTCATCTGGACTCGTTGACTGTTACACTATTCTGCTTGTTTTATCGCAGTTTCTCTGCTTAACTGTTCCTTCTCCTAGACCTATGGAGCTAGATTACCGTTACCTTATATTATATGACATATTTATATATCAGTGCTTCTGAAGTTTCAGTTTCTATGCAGATTCAGAGCGCCGGAGAGAAGAGGAACAGACACACATGCAGAGCAGTGATGTAAAAATCAATGAGGTTTATTTGCAGTCACAATGCTTACACTATATGTAGCAGACATCCAAACGACTCAAACAGCTATTCACTCTATGGACCCAACACATTCGCATCAGGGAAACAAACCAAACTTAGGAACACCCGTGAGTGCTGACATGATTAGAGATGAGCTAGTTGTCACAGTTAGCAGCAACATCTTACAGAGTAACGTGTTGCTAGAGACTCCTTCCCACTGTTTGGTCTTCTAGTCGGGTTCTTCAGGCTGAACTGGTTCTCCTTCCGGGTGAGCGACGTCTCCATGCTGGCTTCCCCTTCCGAGTCTTTCTGCAACACCGCCACACACATATATACACACTCACACACACACACCGTGGCCATTTGAGCTCTACCGCAGGTTCACCAAGTAACAACACACCCACACACACACACCAGGCAAAAAAGAGCCACTCCAATCCACTCACACACAACATGAACACACCAAAAGGACTTCACTGCAGGACCTAGATGGGGGTCCGAGGAATCCAGAGTGTAAACAAATGGTGGGTAGTGCACTGAGCCTGCCAGAGGGGAAACAGAGCTGCAACCGGGCCGCTAACATGTCAGTAAGAAGTGCCGCCTACTGGAGGCGCCAGACTTTAAAGGAAAATTCTGCTGTTTCTTTTTTAGCTCAGGGATGTTTCTGATTAGCCGCAAACATTCAGGCTTCGTCTGCTACAGAAATGTTCCAAACCAGATGCATGATTCAGAGAGTGAAAGAAAGAAAGACTCAAGCTGCACGGTGAGGCAGACATGAGGAATGATGCAGAGAAGATGAGAAATGCTTCTGCAGCTCCTTAAGCTGATGTCCCACAATGTTCTGATGAAATCCACTAAAAAGACAGATTTGTCTGCTTTGCAGTTTATTATAAAGCTCTCTCAGGGATCTACTACATAATTAATTAGATCTAGATTAATTCGATGTCCTACATAATTTGTTTTAGAACAAAGTTGTTGGTATCAGTTCCTAATCCTACTTCCAGATGACCGGACCTCAGCCTCTTCAGGGTTGATGAGAAGCAGAAGCAGAGTGAAAGGAGGAGCCCTAAATGTTGCAGCAGATCAGTGACATCCAGATGTTTAGCTAAGGCTGCGTGGGCTTCAGGGCAGCCTAAAGGTGACCGTACAGCAAGCAGAACATTATAACCACTACCTTTGACTGGTGTTTTCTCACAATTAGTAGGTCTAGTGGAAACGGCGGTGGGAATGTTCATCAGGTGCTTGATTCTAGGTTCACTTAGTGTCACGTTCCAAAAAAACTAAATAAATAAAAGAGCCGGTGGAGCCGTCTGCTGCTGAACGGCCCGGATGGAGAAGCTGGACTGGAAACAGCAGAATGGACCTTTAGGGGGCGCCTCCTGCTGCTGCAAGACTATTTACATCACTTCAAGCAGAGACTAAGAAAAATGTACAGCATGGCGCTCTGACTCCCTTATGTTAGTGTGTGGACCTCTGCTCCCTCACCCTTCCACCTCACCCCCCCTTCCCTTCCCTTCTCCCACGCAGACGGACAGTTTGCACTAACTCACTACACTGTAAAAAGCTCAATCACACGTGGGTTTTTTTTGTCTCAATCCATCCTCTGGTTGAAATTCATTCATTATAAACATTGTTCAAAATGTTACCAAAAGAAAATGTACACTTGGTTCTGGGTGTTTCTATACAAGGCAGGCAGAAGCGGATTACTACGGTTACCGGTACTCCTTCCCTGTGTCCCGTTCCTCCGTTCCAGCCGCAGCACTCTGGCCTTCCTCTCTGTGGTTCAGAGTGCCCAGACATGCACCCCCCCCTTCCGACAGCCAGATGAGTCAGACCGACGTGGACTGGCTTTAAAATAGATCTGTATATATTTATATATGCTTATATCAAAAAGAAGGCGGGAAAGTTTAGCCAATGTGGTGTCTTGGTGAGGAGATGATCCCGTGGGCGTCCCGGCCCGGGGAAGGAGGGGGCGGGGGGATGCAGGGTGGGTGAGGGGGAGGGGGGGAAGCCCGCTCTGCGGCTGGGGGAGACTGCCGTGTGGAATGTCAGCTCATCATGTCGTTGCTGTTTACGCCGTACGTTGAGTTCTTCATGCTGTCGTTGACTTCCCTCCGGAACACAGAGAGATTCTGCGTGAACCTGGACACACACACACACACACACACACACACACACACACACACACACGTCATTTACATTATACCTTTAAAGCATACATTAAAAATGGGGGTTAGTCATATTAGGCTCTGGCGTCTATAATGCTGCGTTCACCGGACGCAGCAGGCGCAGTGAGTTTACATGCAAAGTCAATGGTTGACGCGCGTCAAGGCGCAGCAAAAGGTCCTGCAGCTCGTTTTGAGCAGCAGGCGCAGCGCGTCGGACGCGTTTAAGCATCTGACACGCGCACCACGCCGCAAACACGCTGCTGCTCGAGATGGAAAAATGTAACTTTTGCTGTTCGACGTGCCGCATCAACCAATGAGAGAAGCTGATCTGGGAGCTGGCAGGGAGTCAGACACAGCACTGCTGATACAGGGCGCTGTGATCACTCCCCTGAAACAGTTTATTAACGCCTACATTGACTTGAAATGTCGAAACCTGCCAGAAAAATATGTTTGATTTTATTATCCTGGTGTCTGCAGGTTGGATTACATACATGAAAAAATGCCTTTGAGGCGCTGTGGTGGAAAAACTGAGAAGAGGTAACCAGGCATCAGACTGCTGCTGAAGGAGATTCCCAGTGACAGCGCATCACCGTACAACCGGTCTGAGCTGCTCCAACTTATTCTGGATGAACTGACTGCACAGATGAAGTTTTCAGGTTGACTTTCTCACTTAAAAACATATTAAAACTACTTTTTACCCACAGATCACAGTATATATAGCTGCCATTGTTACAGGCAGAGAAAGGATAGAGTAGCTCCGCCCACCACGCATCAGGGTCGTGAAGGATGCCATAAATGTTAAAGTCCAGTGGGTCGTTTTAAATTTTTTTTTTTTTTGGAATGACAATGACCTCAATGACTGAGAATCTTCAAGAAGAATGAAAAACCAACCTTCAATAGGGGGGGGGGGGGGGGGGGGGGGGGACTCAGATCTCAGCTTATAAAAAGCTTCAATGCAGCGATTGAGTTGATTCCTTCCCGCTATCATCGCAGCCCCAACCCCTTTACAGGAGAACAGAAGACCTCACCTATTCAGCCAGACCAACTATTCCCTCTAACGACCCCCCTTTCAGAGACATAGACCGGTATGGGGCATTGCAGGCTAACAAAGAAGCTAAACGACCCCCATTCCAGAGGGGGGGACCCGTTCATCCGTTTTAATTGCATGTTTTCTAAACTAAAACCAGGCTTTGTTGGACTGCTGGATAAAACCATGAACTAAACGCTATTTCTGACATTTTGAAGTGAAAAAGCTTCACATTACTGGGGCTTAAACTCACACAGGCAGCAGCACCCACCTGTCTCGATTCTTGGTTAGAAGGTTTCTCTCTATCCCCTCCATCAGGTTCTCGAAACATAAGTGCATGGCCTGCTGCTTCTCAGGAGGCTGGCTGCTCACGATGCTGTTTCTCAGGTCAGCAAAATACTGCAGGAAAGCCATTAAACGTTAGACACATGCCCCAGTCAGGTAGGACCTGGGGGCGGTGGGGGGGTACCTTCTCGTTTAGCAGAATGAGGCCGAGCAGCGGCCGGGACATGGACCACTGATTCCTGCAGTCCTCAAAGATGATAATGTTGAGTACAGTGGAGAGCATCTGCAGAACGAACACAGAGACAGCAGCTTTTTAGCCGAGGCAGCGCGTTTGAGGAAGAACTGACGGCAGCCGCTGGTCACACCTGCTGAATCATCTCCGGGTGCTGCTGCATGATGTGCAGGAAGCGGTCATCTGTTGCCATGGGAGTGGGCCTCTTCTTGGTGGAGCGGGACAGCTGCTTGAACAGGTAGGTGACTATGTGGTCCAAACTGGAGCAGCAGCCAGTGCACACCATCGTATCTGACGCACACAAACACGCATCAATTAAAACAGCCAAAACACACCAAGCCCCAAACCCACCGGCACGCAGCTTACCGAGCGCCGTCAGGCCTTCCGATATCGATGACAGAATGTACATGACCACGTGAGGCTCTAAACTGGAGATGAAGTTCATGTGATCCTGAGTCAGCACCTCCAGCAGAGAGTAAAAGGACTGGCTGAGCTTTGGGTAGTCCTGCAGGAGGAGGGAGCAGCAGCTTTTATTTCCTGCCTCTCAACAGAAACTTCGTTCCATAAAACGTTCAGCATTGACGCTTCTACTTTAATATGGAAGTAAATCTGTGTCGCTGGGATTTGAATTAAAAATGCCACTGAAATTTAAATGTTGCATGTTTGTACTTACTGTTTGTGTTAAAATATATTCAGAACACATTTTTGACATAAAAAAAAATTCATTGTCATTATTTCTACAGTTGAAATTTTATTTATTTTCTCCTAAAGCTAAAAATTCACATTACTATATCAAAGTGATTACATTTTCAATACCGTATTTTCACGACTATAAGGCGCACTTAAACGTCTTTTTTCCCCTAAAAATGTGCGGTGCGCCCTTTGGTGCGGTGCGCCCTATGTGTGTTGTAACTGCGACTTTTGAGACCACCTCATTGAGGAGATGATGAAAGAGTGGCTGAATGTAAGGAGACCAGGTGTTTTTTTCCCACTCCTCACCATCGCTGTTAATATGTAACTCCATGCGTGCCCATCTCACAGCTGATGTGAAAAACATGGGGAAACAAATTAACGCTGCTCGACATCGGTGTGAACCGGACCCAGCAGGTGCAGCAGAAGCAGCGAGTTTACATGCAAAGTCAATGGTTGACGCGCATATAGGCGCAGCAAAAGGTCCCGCAGCGCGTTTTGAGCAGCAGGCGCAGCGCGTCGGGAGCGCGCCGCCAACGCGCTGCAGCTCGAGATGGAAAAATTGAAGTTTTGCTGCTGGACGCGCCGCATCAACCAATCAGAGAAGCTGATCTGGGAGCTGACAGCGAGACAGACACATCGCTCTGATGACATATGATATTAAGGCAAATGAAAAAGACTGGATGGATGAGGAGATGATGAAAGAGTGGCTGAGGGAGGTGTAGGCTATGTGAGGAGACCAGGTGGTTTGACGAAAAGTGGAAGGCAGCGCCGGGCAAGTTACGCCATCGTTTGCGGATGGATTGTTGATGCTTGGACTAACGTGTCTGCTGGCACTGTTGTTCGAGCTTTCGCAAAAGCCGGCATTATTTCTGAGGAGCAGAAAGAGAAGAAGGGGAAACTGGCATGTCTGATTTAGCGCAGCTGTTTAATTCAGAAACAGAGGATGATGACTTTGATGGGTTTGATTAATACTTTGTAATAAATACATGAATAAAGCACAAACATACTCAGTTTTGCCCCCGCTGTATTTTTAAATACGCAGTAGAGGTATTTAAAGGTAGTAGAGGACTTGTACCTGTATATAAAAAACGCGCCCTATAGTCCGGTGCACCTGTGTGTTAAATACAGGAATGGGACACATAACAGACTGCGCCTTTTAGTACGGTGCGCCTTATGGTCGTGAAAATACGGTACTTATTTTTCAGTGTTAAAAAAATCTGCATATTAAAAAATTCAACGCCACGTGACTAAGAAACCGTAACGGGATTGGCTGGGTGTTGGACGCCACAATCCATTGCTAATGTCTGTGACCTGAAGTAACCCTTCCCTTTTTACACTGAATTTAGACGCCGAATTTAAGACAGTGAAATAGAGCCAGTTGAATCTCAGGAGGCTGAAAATATTGAGTTTGAATTTTGAAAGGTTGAATTTTTTTAACACTGAAAAATTAAACAGAAAAATAAATATTGAAAATGTAATCACTTTGAAATAGTAATGTGAATTTTTAGCTTGAAGAGAAAATAAATAAAATTTCAACTGTGTAGAAATAATGACAATGAATTTTTTTAGGCCAAAAATGTGTTGTGAATATATTTGAACACTGAAACAGTAAGAACAAACATACAACATTTAAATTTCAGTGGCATTTTTAATTCAAATCCCAGCGACACAGATTTACTTCCATGCTTTAAGCACAGAACCTGGGAACTTCAAGGGATGAGGGAGGAAATGATGGAGGCTGGGACACGAGATGAGGGAAAGACAAAAAAGGAAAGGAAGGAGGAAGATCTTATGAAGGAAAGGAGGATGAAAGGACACACGGACGGGAGGAGACTGGAAACAGATTTTAAAAAACCTTTTTCCAGAACGCAAACCTTCTGAATTGGATTTTTCCAGAGCTTTAATGAACCACGTGAGGCTGGGAGAGCGTGGACCTACCAGTAAGTCACTGTGAGGGATTGAGAGCAGCAGTTTGATGAATGTCTGCAAGGCGTTGTCCAGAGCGTCGTCGCCATAGAGACGAAAGACCCCGAAGTTGACATAGTTTCCGCTGAGCACCGCCTTCAGCATGGCGAAGCACACGCTGACGCCCTTCAGCTTCACGCCGTACACCTGGTCCTTGGGGACCTCTCCCAGAGTCAGGATCCGGTTCCCTGGGAATTAAAACAGACGAGCCGAGGTCACTCGGGTTCAGAGCGAACGCTGGACCTGTGAGGGTTTAGTCCCAGTACCGTATGTGGTGATCATCTTGCTGGTTTCTCTGAACAACAGGATTCCATTGGGAGACGACACATCAAACTGGAGCCTCTGAGATCTGCAGAGACAGATGGAGAGGAATCGGAAACCTTTAGGTTAAACCCAAACCTCGGATGTTTGAGTCTCTAGGACCACGCTTTAAGAGGATAACCAAGTTTGATGCCTACAGAGACCAGCTGGTGCTGCTGGGCCATGGTTTCACACCAGTTTCACACCAGTGATGCCTCCATTTGCAAATCAGATCAATAAAATAGTTTCTAATCATTTAATTTATTTTGCTTTTATTCTTTTAAGCAGCAAAATCACAAAGGGCCGTGTCACACCTCGCAGATTTAGTCACACCTTGCCTGACGTCCCAGAATCTTCTAAAACGCTGTCATACGCTGAACTTTCTATGTATTTTTTCAATTTTGGGCGTATACATAGAGTATTCATAACGAGTCCAGAACTTCTGCTCAAGGACAGCCTAACTTCTGCATAACGCACGGCAGCGTAATGCCTATGATATGATGCACAGTGTCCTGAGGGGGGCAGCGATGCGGCCGGAGGCACCCGGTCTGCATAAAAAGATGTCTTTGATCGCGGTATTAAAGGAAAAGTTTGCTCATATTCAGAATTCAAACTTCTTAAAGTCCTTTAAATATGAATTTATTCCATCCTGTTCAATAGATGATCAGTTTAATAAAGTATTTATGAACTGAATTCCTAAAATAATTGGTGTCGGAACCAGAATGGTTGAAATTCAAACAATGCCTCACCAAGCAGAGGAACAGCCTGGGATCAGCTGTTTCCCACACTGAGCTATCAGAGCTCATCAAAGCAGCTCAGGATGACAACAAACTAAAACTAGTTAAGTCAGTCTATCATTACACCCCCCCAATTAATCCAGTTTAAATGTGATTATAAGGGAGTTACTCAGAGGAGCTCCAGTTTTATAAAATACAGCTTTATAATATGACTTTATTTTGTATTTTAATTCCTCAATAACTTCCATGCAACCCATTTATGATATTTTTTATGAGTTGCAAAGAATAACATGCCAAAATTATTCTCAAGTTAAAAGGGTTAAATAAAATGTTTTTTATTTATAATCAGTTATTGCAAGTTCCATTTTTGGACATTAATACTTTTGACTGAGAGGGGGACTCCATGCCCAAAGGAGAACATGAGTCAAAAAAGGTTTGGAAACGCTGGCCTGCAGAATTATTGTTCAGACGGTACAACAGCACCATCTGCTGGACTTCATGGACAAGAACAGCTGCTGTGGCCGATCCATGCTGGAAGTCATCAGAACGGAAATCATTGGTCAAGGAAAAGTTGCTCATATTCAGAATTTAAACTTCTGAAAGTTCTTTAAATCTGAAATGATTCCATCCTGTTCAATAAATGATCAGTGTTTTTAATTAAGAGTCATTTTAATCTGAATGTGCTTTACTGGAGGCAGTGAACATATTAGTTTTGGCTATAAATAGTGACCCACTGATTATTCCCTGCTGACTTGACTTTTACTTCAAAGCTTTTTATTAAATTATTAAATTTCAAAACTTAAAAATGTAAATTATGATTTTTTATACTTATATATATATATATATATATAAGTGAGAGATGTTTAAACATTTTTTGCTGCATACTTGAATTTCTATTTATGTTAATAAACATTTGCCAAGTTCTTTCAAAAAACAACAATCTTTGGTTTATTGTCTCCGCTGACAGGATGGCGGACCCTACAGGCCTGAAGCGAGGCCGTCTGCAGCTTTTATAGTCCCAGGCTTTTCCCCATGTCCCCAATATCCTGGCCAACTCTAGATGGGCGCGCACAGCGCATCACCACACAACATGTAGCAGGAGAAAAAATTTTCAAAGTCTCTTCATGCCATCTAAGCCGTCTGTCATCACAAATGTATGCGTGGCATAAATTCATGCTGCCCTTAGGGTTGCTAGTTTGATTCAAACATTGAAGGATTGGAATCCAGAACCGGAGGTTCTAATGTCCCAGCATCTCAGTGTTTACCTGTTGTGAACCAGCTCTGCCATGAGTTTGAGGACCGGTGTGGTACAGGCCGGGTCATGGTACCACAGCTCGATGGCCCGCTGCAGGATGGGCATGTATGCCGGATATCTGGTGATCTGGTTAAGGACACGTCTTCCAACCAAACAGGGATACAAGTCCAATTTATCAGACAGGTTATTGGGTCGGTGCCACTTGGCTTTAAGGATACATCCAGTCGAACAGCATCATGAAACTTGTCTTTGCATTGAAGGCGAACGCGATGCCTCTGAGGTCTCGGACCAAGCCAACCAAAGTCCTCTACAGGAAACAGACTGAGATCAGTTAAAGAGCAGAGACGAGCCAATCAGCGCTCTGGAGGACCGAAGCTGACAGACGAGCTGCAGAGTCTCAGTCACCTTGGCTTCCTGCTCGTTGAATGTGTTGGTACTCAGCATCTGAGCCACAGCTTCAAACGCCGCTGTCAGAGGCAGCATGAACTGTTCAAATTGGTCCTCATCTTCTCCTGCTCACACAGACACACACCCAAAATCACCATTATTAACCTCCCAGCAGGCACACCGCTGACACACAGGAATATCTGCTCACTTACCAAGGTCAACCATGAGCAGGCGGCCCAGCGCTGTGTAGAAGGTGGTCCGACACCTCATATCGCTCAGGTTGGACTGGTTGTTCACCCCCAGGAAAGAGAAATGCTCGCTCTGTCGAAACAAACCATCATCATCATCCTTATCATGTGGCACAGCCTTGAATAACTGGGTTGGACTGTGAGGCTTCATCCTGCAGGACTCACCGTGTGGTTGTTCAGCATGAACTGAACCGCGCTCAGCTTCACCAGCTTCCTCACACTGCTGTATGTGCACAAAGACCAGGTCAAGGAGCTAACACACTTCCCACCATGGACCACACTGGAGCAATCATAAAAGTTAGCATAAAAAGGCTAACTCTTTAGCAAACACACACTTCCCACCATGAACCACACTGGAGCAATCATAAAAGTTAGCATAAAAAGGCTAACTCATTAGCAAACACACACTTCCCACCATGAACCACACTGGAGCAATCATAAAAGTTAGCATAAAAAGGCTAACTCTTTAGCAAACACACACTTCTCACCATGAACCACACTGGAGCAATCATAAAAGTTAGCATAAAAAGGCTAACTCTTTAGCAAACACACACTTCCCACCATGAACCACACTGGAGCAATCATAAAAGTTAGCATAAAAAGGCTAACTCTTTAGCAAACACACACTTCCCACCATGAACCACACTGGAGCAATCATAAAAGTTAGCATAAAAAGGCTAACTCATTAGCAAACACACACTTCCCACCATGAACCACACTGGAGCAAACTTAAAAGTTAGCATAAAAAGGCTAACTCTTTAGCAAACACACACTTCCCACCATGAACCACACTGGAGCAATCATAAAAGTTAGCATAAAAAGGCTAACTCATTAGCAAACACACACTTCCCACCATGAACCACACTGGAGCAATCATAAAAGTTAGCATAAAAAGGCTAACTCATTAGCAAACACACACTTCCCACCATGAACCACACTGGAGCAAACTTAAAAGTTAGCATAAAAAGGCTAACTCTTTAGCAAACACACACTTCCCACCATGAACCACACTGGAGCAATCATAAAAGTTAGCATAAAAAGGCTAACTCATTAGCAAACACACACTTCCCACCATGAACCACACTTGAGCAATCATAAAAGTTAACATAAAAAGGCTAACTCATTAGCAAACACACACTTCCCACCATGAACCACACTGGAGCAAACTTAAAAGTTAGCATAAAAAGGCTAACTCATTAGCAAACACACACTTCCCACCATGAACCACACTGGAGCAATCATAAAAGTTAGCATAAAAAGGCTAACTCTTTAGCAAACACACACTTCCCACCATGAACCACACTGGAGCAATCATAAAAGTTAGCATAAAAAGGCTAACTCTTTAGCAAACACACACTTCCCACCATGAACCACACTGGAGCAATCATAAAAGTTAGCATAAAAAGGCTAACTCTTTAGCAAACACACACTTCCCACCATGAACCACACTGGAGCAATCATAAAAGTTAGCATAAAAAGGCTAACTCTTTAGCAAACACACACTTCTCACCATGAACCACACTGGAGCAATCATAAAAGTTAGCATAAAAAGGCTAACTCTTTAGCAAACACACACTTCCCACCATGAACCACACTGGAGCAATCATAAAAGTTAGCATAAAAAGGCTAACTCTTTAGCAAACACACACTTCCCACCATGAACCACACTGGAGCAATCATAAAAGTTAGCATAAAAAGGCTAACTCTTTAGCAAACACACACTTCTCACCATGAACCACACTGGAGCAATCATAAAAGTTAGCATAAAAAGGCTAACTCTTTAGCAAACACACACTTCCCACCATGAACCACACTGGAGCAATCATAAAAGTTAGCATAAAAAGGCTAACTCTTTAGCAAACACACACTTCCCACCATGAACCACACTGGAGCAATCATAAAAGTTAGCATAAAAAGGCTAACTCATTAGCAAACACACACTTCCCACCATGAACCACACTGGAGCAATCATAAAAGTTAGCATAAAAAGGCTAACTCATTAGCAAACACACACTTCCCACCATGAACCACACTGGAGCAAACTTAAAAGTTAGCATAAAAAGGCTAACTCTTTAGCAAACACACACTTCCCACCATGAACCACACTGGAGCAATCATAAAAGTTAGCATAAAAAGGCTAACTCATTAGCAAACACACACTTCCCACCATGAACCACACTGGAGCAATCATAAAAGTTAGCATAAAAAGGCTAACTCATTAGCAAACACACACTTCCCACCATGAACCACACTGGAGCAATCATAAAAGTTAGCATAAAAAGGCTAACTCATTAGCAAACACACACTTCCCACCATGAACCACACTGGAGCAAACTTAAAAGTTAGCATAAAAAGGCTAACTCTTTAGCAAACACACACTTCCCACCATGAACCACACTGGAGCAATCATAAAAGTTAGCATAAAAAGGCTAACTCATTAGCAAACACACACTTCCCACCATGAACCACACTGGAGCAATCATAAGAGTTAGCATAAAAAGGCTAACTTGTTAGCAAACACACATTTCCAGTCAGAAAGGATATCCTAAGGAGAGGTCATTGAGCAGCTGGAGTGTTTTGGAGGTGATTGGTTCACACTGACCCCAGTACTTCAAGTTGGTGATTCTGGAAGAAAGAAAGAAACATTTTAGGGTCAAAGTGATCTAAACTGATCCTCAGAAACGTGGAAGCAGCGAGGAGGGTGCTTACATCTTGCCTATAAAGACACTGAGGACCATCGTCTCGTCGTTTAACCCCAGAACTTCTGATAATCTTCGATAAAGCTGGAAAAGAAACCAGAGAAACTCGGATCAGTTTGGCTCAGATCTTCCTTCCTAAGGAGAAGGTTCTGGACGTCTGCTGGCCTCCCTCAGGAACAAGGGTCAGTTTAAAGCTTGGCTTAGGCTGAACGCATCTGCATCTATTTCTAAAGCACCAATTAAAAACATGTCATCTCAAGGCACTTTACAGTTCAACCAGATATTACATTCAAATTGATTAAATGTTTTCTATAGAAAAACCAGTGATTGCATCGACTCATTCACTCTTCCAGCAATTCCTCACACTAAGTATGCTTGTAGCGACAGTGGAGAGGAAAAAATCCCCTTTAACAGGAAGAAACCTCCAGCAGAACCAGGCTCAGTGTGAGCGGCCATGAACAAAATGATAGACCACTCCCACAGGCAAATGATTTCTTCTAGAGAAATCAGGTGATTTAGCCCATAAATATCACCACTGTTTTCTAAGTCCTTATTTAGCGTAGTACTGCTACCTCGCTGTAGACGTCCCAAGTGTCTAATTTCTGTGTCCAGCATAAACCGCGCTTAAGATGCTTTCCCAGTAAAACATTCTGTTCCTCTCAGTTTACAGTAAGAAGGGAGAGATTGTAAAGAACTCCACTGGTTCCAGTAAACACCAGGACAGACCTAACCTGCCACAGCAGCCTGGTGGGATCCAGTGGAGACATTTCTGGTCATTAAACTATTCTATTTTGTCATTGTGGGCTGAAGCAGGAGAGAATGGTCAGACTGTATGAGGCTCAAAGCAGAGATTCTTCAGGATGTCTTTGAAATTCTGACTTATGCTACTTTCAGACTGTGAGCAGCAGAAGCAGCTAAAATGTGCATAGTGCTTCATTTTTGATGCTGTAAAAGTTTAGTTCTGATGCACGGATGAAGCATCTGCTGATGTGACTGCGTGGTCGAAAAGTCGGGCTGATGCGTTTTGGGCGGAGCTAACCTATCCTTTCTTTGCCTGTGACAATGGCGGCTGTTATTGCTGTGATCAGTGAGCAAAAAGTAGTTTTAATATGTTTTTTTTTGTGAGAAAGTCCACCTGAAAATTTCATCTGTGCAGTCAGTTCATCCAGATTAAAATCCTGCCTTCAAATAACCGGCAGTGACTACCTCAGGCCCGCTCGCCTCTTTGCGGTTTTCCACTACTGTTCACGGCAGCTGGAAGGCGTTTAATACAAACTGCAGGCACTGGCATAATAAAAGCCAACATATTTTGCTGGCAGGTTTCAACATTTTGATTTAATTTAGGCGTTAAATACAGTTTCAGAGGAGTGATCATAGCGCTCTGCATCAGCAGTGCTGTGTCTATCTCCCTGCCAGCTCCCAGATCAGCTTCTCTGATTGGTTGATGCGGCGCGTCCAGCACCAAAATTTAAATTTTTCCAACTCCAGCAGCTGCTGCTTATGAAGCGCGTCAGATGCTCAGAAGCTGGTGAGGCGCTGCTTCAGCTGCTCCGACGCCCTGTGGGACCCTTTGCTGCACCGTGATGCGCGTCAACCATTGACTTTGGACGTAAACAACCCAACTTCTGCTGCTTCTGCTGCTTGCGATGCCAATGCAGCATTAATCTCCGTTTCAGCCTGAAGTCTTGTGACTTTCATTCAGTTTTACTGAGAAAACCTTCTGCACTGCAAAAAACAATAAATCTAATTTTTTCTTCAAATAACTGCATTATTTTCTTGAATTGAGCAGGTAAGTAAGAGTTTATCAATGGAACAAGACAATTTACATTTAACATAAAAAACTTTTGTCTTATTTCAAGTGCATATCATCTAATTATCTTATTTTAGGATTAAAAAAATTCTCCTTCCATTGGTAGATCATCTTATTTACCTACTCAAATTAAGGGTGAATACACTTTTACTCATTTCTAGATGTTTTTTGCAGTGAGGATCTCTAGATTCAAACAAACTGGCTTGTTTTTTTAACAGGCACGACTACCAACCACCACTACGTTCACCACTTATCTGCAGAGGTCAGAATGAGCAGTTTGTGCCTTAGAGAGGGAGAGCAGGTGTCAGTGGACGCCACACAGCGGGCGGATGGACGGGCTTTCTGGGATCGCTCACCTTTGAGGATTTCTGCACCTGGTCGCCGATGTAGATCTTGCGGAACTGCTCGAAGAAGCTGAGCATGGCCAGCTCCAGTCTCTCGTTGCCCGCCTGAGCGAGCCGCGAGTCTGTCAGGTTCATCAACTGCAGAACCCTGAGAGAGCGTGTTGAAGAGATGACAGACCATACGAAACATGAGCAATGACAGGAAGCCAGATCCGATCCTTCTTTAAAACAGTCAGACTAGGCTGCAACTAACCATTATTTGGCCAATCGATTAATCTGATGATCTTTTTTTCAATTAATCGATGAATAATTGTAAAGTCAAAGATTCTTTAACCCCTTGAGCCTGGCGGGCCCGGTACAGCGCCCAACAATCACCAGCTGATGTTTATCAATTTATAAAAATAGCAAAAACAGTCACATGGTGTTTCATCCACACGCCTTTCAAATGGGGCTTTAAAATTTCTAAAACATCTTTCAAAATTATTTTTTCACAAATATTTGTGTTTTATAGCTGTGAAAACAAAAGTAGATTTAAAATTCTGCCTAAAATGTGTAACTCTGGGGGAGTAATGCAACAGCAGGTTTTCATTTTAGCCCCGCCCCTTAATGGAAACTAGAGGCTCAGACCTTTCCAAGGAGGGGTCGGAGGTCATTTAGGGACCATTTCAGGTGATTTAACCAGTGTTCTGTCAGATGAGCATATCCCAGCATACCTATAGTCAATACGCAAGCGCAAAACGCCAGATTTGCATTTATCCCTTTAGGAAAAATTAAACTCAGCGGGTATGAATCAATTTAGCAAGGTACAAAAAAAGACAAACAATTAAAGCTTCAAAAAACACCAAAAAGTAAGTAATTAAATAGTTTTTTCGTACATGACTAAAGGGATACACGCCCGTTGAGATAGTTTAAAGTTTATTTTTCATACAATATTAAAGGGATAAACGGTTATTGACTCTGGGGATGCTGGTCTGATGCTCATCTGACAGAACACCAGCCGGGGTTACATGAGCTGTTATTTTTATTTTTTATCCAGTTTGGAGATATTATTGGTATATTTCATTTAAAAATGGCTAAATCTTAGGAGCAAAGGCTTTGTCTTATGCAGAAAGTCTCCAATAATGGAAATCAGCATATTTGTCTGACCAGATTCTCTTTGATGAGAAAAGAAAAATGCATTGGACAATTTAGGCACTGTGCCAAATTCACATTTTCACCAAACACAGTGCTCACTAAGGCTTTGTGCAACAAACATGCTTCAACTTAGTCAGACCAAATTAACTTGACTTTATAGTCAAGATGTGGATCTATAAAGTTGAGGGTTCATCCAGAGTTTCTAATGGGCTTTAATGGTGTTTGTCAGAGTTTATTTTGGAAAAATGTTGGCGAGGCTCAATATTTTTCATTTCTTCTTTGTTTAATCACCTATAAATCAGAAACTGTGAAATTTAAAATATTGATTCCACTGAAAAATGCTCCTCAATGCCTTTCTGTCATACAAATAACCAATTGTATTTCCAATTTATAGTTTGAGAGCTGTACTTGCTTAAAATATGGAATTTCAGGCGGAATTTACTCTTAAGAAGCTCACGGCTTAAGATTTTACAACAAGTGAAACTTTTCGACCCGAGGAGTTCTGGACAGAGCAGACTGAAAATATATATATATATATTTTGTTTTATCTTAAATACTAAATGTTTATAGTTTTTCCTTTACAATTCTGGTATAATTATTTCTCTTAGTGGGTCGCTCGGTCCGCCAAATTCATGTTTTTTAGTCTCTATACAAACAATAAATCGGCAATTATTATTTGAATAATCAATTATTCCGATGAATTGTTTCAGCCCTAAATCCGACGCATCCCACCTGCAGACCAGCTCCCCATCCATGGCGTCCTGCTCGTCTGTACTTGCAAACGACACCCGTCCTCCGATCACCGCCCCGATGATGTAAACCAGCCACGTCAGGCGACCTGCACCCAGAGGAGAGGGACTCAGACTCTGCTTAAGCCACAGGGAGGCGTGGCTTTAGATGTGTCGGCCAGCCGTACCCTCCTGGACCGTGACGTCGGCTGCGCTGGAGTTGGTGGACTGAAGGAGCTCCTGGTACGTCTGCGCCGCCTGGTCAAAGAGCTGCACCAGCAGAGCGCACGTCTTCTCATACTCACACCTGCCGATGGTGGATAACTGGTCCAACTGCTGCTGGACCAGTCCGGCATCGTCCAGCGGGTCCTCTAAGCCGTCTCTGTGGAGAGAAGACCCTTTCATTTGGCTACTGGGCCCGGTCACCAGCAGGGCGGCTTCTGCAGGACCTACCTGAGGATGACGTGGACCGACTCGAGCCGGGACGTGATGTAGGCCTTGGTCACCTCTGGGGTGTAGGTCTCCAGTAGGTGCGGCTCGGTGGCTTTGACGTAGGGGACAGACGCTGCCAGGCGCTGCCACAGACTCAGCAGGTAGTGGACGCTGTTGGGGGCAAACTCCCAGTGCTGGAAGACAGAACCACAGAGAGCCATAGAAACCAGGACTTCCTGTCTGAAACGGGGCAGAGCGGACGCTCAAAGGCTCACCTGCAGGCTGGTGACGGTGAAGTTGGCGATGAGACGGATCACCTCCGGGTAATTCTCCACTTTGACCAGCTCGCCCAGCTGGTAGTTGCTCTTCAGCCTCGCCAGCAGGCGGCAGAACTCGTGGTAGTTGTTGGGATCTGGCAAACACTGTCACACACAAATACATCACAGCACTGGAGCGGTCCGGGCGGCGGCGGCCGACCACATCATGTGACCTCCGTACCTGAGGGTTGGCCAGTATCCTCTTCACGCCGTCCACTAGGTGCGAGAGGAACTTGGCCCGCTCTGCGTTGTTGAAGAGAGACCTCCGGACGGAGGCAATCTGAACCAAACAGGACAGCACCTGGACAGAGACAACGAGCAGCCAGGAATAGAACCAGCAACCTTCCTGATCAGTCTACATGTCGGATCACACCATTGCTCCCACTTACCAGCGGGGACAGAGATGGAGGGAGGGAATGATACAAGTTGAAAAACAGCTGCAGGGTGGAGGAATCAAGGAACGCTGCAGGAGAAACAAAAGATGCAAAAAGTTGTGTTTAGATGCTGTTCTGGTCGGTTAAATAAGATCATAGGATGTTAAATAAGATCATAGGATGTTAAATAAGATCATAAGATTTAAAACTGACAGACTTTAACTCCTTATATGGCAAGTTAGCGTTGTTGATCAATTGGATACCCTTTACTCCTGGAGAGAAATATCAGCTGTGCTGCTGCCATCAACACCTTTGTTTCTAGATGTTTGAGCTTGGCCTGTTTTCCAGTGTAGTCCTGTTTCTCTGACTGTGACTAACTGGATGTGCTCTCTTCATCCTCTGACATGGGAGCTGGCTTAGAACTCTTCTGCCTGGCTGCCCCGTCCCTCAGTGAGGTCTATAAGCAAAATATCTATATCCAGCTGTTCGATAAAGATCCTGATACATGGCTGTACGTCTTATTTTGGCATTTGACCAAATAGATGAGTCCTTGAATGATATATTACCTACTGGAAATTAAGTTGGAAAAAAAAGTTAACAAGTCAAGAAATAAAGGTAAAAAAAAGTTAAGTTAATAAGCCTAGTTAACAATTATATTAAGATTTATAAACTAATAATGTAAGGCTACATTCACACTGCAGGCTTTGATGCTCAATTCCATTTTTTTTTTTGAGAAAACCAATTTTTTTGCGTTGCTGTTAATATTTCCAAATGTATGCGACTTCTATGAGATCTCCTGTGTGAACTGCAGTCATACAATGCAAGTGTCCCGCATGCGCAGTAGAGGACGCAATGACGTCACAGACCAGCGTGCTCTTTTTTCCCGGAAGTAAACATGGATGGTAGTGCCGGCGCGCATCTAGCGATCTTTTCCAACCATAAAAACTCAATCTTTTCTATATGGTTAAACATAAATAATGCTCTCCGCTTCATCATCTGCCATGGTTGTTGTTTTACTTGCTGCTTCTGCGTAGCAAGACGCAGAATACTGACCTTTGTCGGGTATTAATGACGCTCCGTTCAGACACCGGTCGCATTTGAAAAGATCAGATTCGTAACGGATTCAGGACCACAGAGCCAAGTGGCCTGGGTAGGACTGGAAAAAAAATTAGACTGCCATGAAAAGATCAGATCCAGGTCGCAAAAAAATCTGATTTGGGTGACTTCAGGCTGCGGTGTGAACGTAACCTGAGTGACAGTATCAGCATTAATGCCTCTAAGGTTATGAACTGTAAAGTGCCTTGAGATGACGTGTTGTTAATTGGTGCTATTTAAATAAACTTAATTGAATTGAATATATAAAAAACACGGCAAAATCCTTCATCATCTTTACCAAAATTCCTCGTTTTCCAGCCACTTTTGTTGAAATTAGCATTTTCCCCATTCCCTAGCTTTTTCTCCGCCTTAACTTATTTTCCAAAGCTTTCAGGAACCAGTTTTATCTGATATATCTGACAAAATTGTTCTTATAAACTTTTTTATTATTTTTTAATAAAGCATTTTAAATACCACGATAATTATATTTAATGAATTTTAATGCCAATTAAGGCCTTAATTCACTGATTTTTAAAGAGCCGCAGAAACCATGTTATATGCTGTACCAAAAAAACAAAATGTATTTCTTTTACTCTCAGCGTTTTTCATGAATTTTTTTTATAGAAGCGCTTTTGTTAATTTTGTTAATGTATTCGGGCAAGTTGGTGTTTCTTGTTATTACATTGACATAAATTTTTGCCATCAAATTATCAATATTTTTTAATATTACAAATGAAATAAGGTCTTTTCACTGAGTGACCTATAAAGCGTTAAAGGAGTGGAGCTGCAGGCTCACTCACCTGATCTCCAGGACGTTGGAATCTGTACAGTGCAAAGGTCATCTGATGACTCGTCTGTGGAAGTTCCTATGAAGTCAAAGTTGAGGCAATTGTAGCTGAGCTTGAGGAGCTGCATCAGCAGGCCGTGCTGCGACTCATCATTCAGGTTCAGGTTCTTTCCTGAAGCCTGGAACCAGAACAGAAAGTCCAGATTCATTAGAAGGCAGAACTAATGAAACCTCCGCAGAGCTGCAAAATTTTACCCAAAAATGTGATTTACAGCTATAGCTAGAATTCATAGATGATCTGGATCATTAACAAATGTTACCAAACTGTTCCTCAGCATGAGGCACACCTCTGATAAAAATATTCCTTAAAATCAGTTAAAAACTTTTGAATTCCTGCTAACAAACCAACAACGTTCCTTTTTCTTGTGTTTTTGTCTTCAGTAAAATACCTGCAGATTTTTGGAGTCTGATACTTAGGCTGTCAATATACACTGATGTCACCTACTGGTTTAGTGGGGAACTGCTTGTTCCGCCAAGTATCCCAATCTCACAATGTTGGAGAATTATTTTAAAGGAAAAGTCCGCTCGATTCAGAATTCAACCTTCTGAAAGTACTTTATATATGAAATTATTACATACTATTCAATAAATGATATGTTTTTTTAATTTAGAGTAAATCCTCCCTCTTCAAGTTGGCGATCCAACGACCAACTTATCGATCCGAGTCTTTATCGATACCACTATCGATAGTTTTCTGTTATTTGGTGGAAAGACGATGCAACAATATTTTTTTAAAAGAACTGGTATTGCTTCTATTGCTTAACAAGTGAGCATAACAAAAACATTTCTAGCCTTCAATAAACATGGCTAATGTAATAGGCCACTTCGAAATGACATAAAACTAACTAGAATATATTTTCACAATTGTTGGTTAATGTATTGTCTACTGTCACTTTTCATCATGTTTTTAGTGATTAGGAAAATATTTAACAAATAAATAATTGTATTTTAAATTAAATGTAATTTTTAATAAATGTTGGCATCAGTAGTTTAATTATATATAGAGCAATGTACAACTGTATTACTCATGTTTCTCGCCAAAAACTAAATTTCCCGTTTTCTTTACGTTACACTTGAATGCATCATGATAACCTAATTGTCGTTTTACTGAGCCAATCTGAACACATCAACACGCAGCACGTCTGAAACTTTATTTACTTTTCAAGCTAACTAGCTTGTATGCTGCCGATTACAAGACGGATTTCACAATTAATATTTTTAACTGACCGGACAAGCTACAAAGTCTGTGTGCGCTTGCCAGTGGTACTCTGAGTGGATGATTAAGACGGGCCCGACTGCGGCGGCAGGAGGAGGAGTCTTTTCCGTTCAGCCATTCTCGAGTCGCGAGCAAAATTAACTGCCAGACTTCACTTTTTTTACTTTTAATATCTGTTTGCTTACAATTTCATTCCAAAACATTGGTGGACATGCTGCAGTGATTGGATTGATTAGATTTAAATGCTGTGACGTGACTCGAGGGACACACAATTATGTTACAGGACCTCCGGGGGAAAAAAAAAAAAACGACCAGACTCGATAGTGGTATCGATAAGCCCAAACGTTATTGATTTTCGGGTTTTGAAAAAAGTGGAACCGGGTCCTTGATGGAACCGGGTTTCGATCCCCATCCCTACCTTAAACAGAAACTAGTGCATCCTAAAAACCAAACCTCCAGACCTAATCTGAGCAGAGTGTCTGCAGTTCAATGCAGTGAGGAATGCTCTGATCTTTATATTGGAGAAACAAAAACAAACTCTCCACAGAAGCATGGCCCAACACAGAAGAGCGCCCTCCTCTGGACAAGACTCTGCAGTACATCTACACTTTATTGACAAAGGACATTCTTTGGAGGACCAGAATGTTCACATTTTGAACAAAGAAGACAGGTGGATTGAGAGGAGCGTAAAGGAACCTACAATTCAGCGATTGAGTTGATTCCTTCCCACTATCATCGCAGCCCCAACCCTTTTACAGGAGAACAGAAGACCTCAGCTATTCAGCCAGGCCAACAATTCCCTTCAACAACCCCCTTTCAGAGACATAGACAGGTATGGGGCATTGCAGGCTAACAAAGAAGCCGTTTCGTCCGTTTCAATTAGCATGTTTTCTAAACAAAAACAAGGCTTTGTTGGGCTGCTGTGTCAAACATCGAACTCAACTATAACTCTGACATTTTGAAGTGGAAAAAGCTTCCTGGATGGGAAGTGAAACGTCTTCAAACTTGGAAACAAAGTCCAGGGGATTGTTTTAACTTTTTTGGAATGTCTGTACCTGAGTGACTGAGAATCTTCACCAGATAATAAGAGGCCTTTAAGCCTTTCCATGACTCCTGTGTGCTTGAATAAAATCAAGGGTTTTCTGCACAGACGAGAATCAAACCTGAAGCTGGAGCTTCTTTCCATACAGACACGGGTCAGAACCAGAATTAGATGGATCCAGTGTACAATAACAGATGTTGGAGAGGGGGTGTTTGTTGGGGGGTGGGGGTCTCTGGGCCTCTGACTGCTATAGAGGACAGTGGGTGAGACGTTCTTCTATGTTTATATGTATCTGGAGGCGTTTTCGGCTTACTTTTTAGTGAAGCACCAAGAGAACCAACACTTTCTTACTCTGTTCATGCAGAACTGGCCTTCAGATCCAGACAGATGAGCAGATTGTTAATCATTAATTTGTCAATATGAAAAGTGAGCCCATTAAACTGTGATGGTAAAAGTGACCTGGATCCAAACACGTAAGAATTATGTATTGTGGCTCACACCTAACTATGTTGAGTTCACCGACTGGAAAATTGTCAGATTTTCAAGTTCCTGCTCGATCTATTTGTCCCTATTGTTCAGCTGGGAAGATCAGGGTCACTTTCCTGGTAACGGCGGGCCTTCAGGACTGACCTGTTTGAGGAGGTTGCAGGAAAGCGTGAAGATGTCGAAGAGCGACGAATCTCTAAAGGATGAAGCGATCTTCCTATGTTTGGTCAGTGGATGCGTCGTGTCGGCCTGAGGAAGGAAAGAACAAGATTTGGGGAACCTGCAGCCACTGCAGCGACTGCTGGCTCAAACAAGCTCTACAATCACTGGTCCAGGAAGAAGCAGCTTGAAATAAAAACTCACCTGATTTATCTCGTTTGTCAGCTGGGACAGAATGGTGACGCCTATAATGCAATGCTCCACGCTGTCCTGGAAACACACACAGCTCCTTATATTAGCTTCTAATTGATCCTGTCATTACACACAAAGGTTCATCATACATTTCATCAGGGATGGAAGTTTCTTCCAGATGCAGTTTTTTCCCCCCCAGTTTTTTCTTCCAAGCTTATTCTGTCCAGAAGAAACGGTTTCTTCCAGTTTCTTCAGGAAGGAAACTTGACAGGAACATTTTACTGGAAAGATTTGTTTCTTTTGGTGAATATTTAGCCTTAAGCAGGCCCAAACCCAGTTATAATCTTGTGCTTCGTCGGCCCCAACTGATTTTCTCAAGCTTCGGTCTGATTCACACAAAGTTGAGGAATCGTCTTGGAGCGTCAAAGGCCCGAAAACGTGTTTTCTGTTTCCGAACGCTACGTGGCCAGAATGAGCCGGACTAATATACTGTATTGTGCTGCTACATCGCTGCTGTTCTGTATGTAGAAATGCAGCGTTACAACATTGTTCTTACAGTTGGTGACCAAGGTATTCTTTCATTTAGATTTTTATTAGATCGACTTTTTGGTACAACATCCAATTGCCAGTTTTAGTCCGTGAGGCAGACACCCTGTCTACTTTTAAGGCTAGGCTTAAAGCTTCTAGTTAGAGTGGCTCAGGTTATCCTGATCTATCTCTATAGTTCTGCTGCTATAGGCTTAGACTGCTGGAGGACATAGGGACCCCTTAACATCATTCTGCTTCATTCTCTCTCTATTCTCCCACTCTGCAGAATCTGTTAGTTCAATCTCTAACGTTCTGCTCTCTCTGCTTTTTCTCATAGTAGCTTCATCTGGTCTGTTCCTGTTTGGCTGTGACTCCATCCTGGAGAGAAATATCAGCTGTGCTGCTGCCATCAACACCTTTGTTTCTAGATGTTTGAGCTTGGCCTGTTTTCCAGTGTAGTCCTGTTTCTCTGACTGTGACTAACTGGATGTGCTCTCTTCATCCTCTGACATGGGAGCTGGCTCGGAGCTCGTCTGCCTGGCTGTGTGTTTCCTGGACGGGGCCGCCTGTGGAGCTGGTTGACAGTTGCCTTTTGTATCTATGCTTCTTTTTCTATGTCTGCTTCTGTCTCCTTGAACCCCAGTGGGCCTCAGCAGATGGCCGCTCACACTGAGCCTGGTTCTGCTGGAGGTTTTTTCCTGTTTAAAGGGAGTTTTTCCTCTCCACTGTCGCTAGAATCAGGCTTAGTGTGAGGGATTGCTGAAGAGTCAATGAGTCGATCCAATCGACTGGTTTTCAATTTGGCTGTATGATCTGATGAACGATAAAGTGCCCTGAAATTAAGTGTTGTGAATTGGTGCTATAGAAATAATCTGAATTAAATTAATAAATTATATAAATTCTTAATTTGTGTCACTGTGTGTATTCTCATAAAGATTCCACCTTATGTAGCCTGGTGGATTTAGTGAGTCGACTTTTAAATGGAACAATCCCAGTTCTCCAAAATATGATCTTCTACCAGGAATTTATTTCAGTTTCTTCCACAAGAAAATTAACCCTTCATTTCATATTAATTTGTCAGTTAAGCCCCTCAGAAAAAAATCCCCAATAAGGACAAAAACAGTAAAGAAAAACTGGAAAGTAAATAAATGGAAGGACAGACGGTGAGACGTTTGATCTGATGGATGGATTAACTCTTTTTCATTAAAAAAAGCACACACCCCCCCAAAGTAAAGTCAAAACCATAAAACTTCAATCCCCTTGAAGAAAAGTCACAAAACTTCTTTTAAAATGTAATTATTCAAAGTTCAACAGTTTATTTTACTGAATAGCAGAGTTCAAAATTTCCATCAAAATTCCTGCTAAAGTCTGGGAAACCAGAACTTCACCACCTATTTCCAGCGGAATAGGAACCCAGAGTATCTAAAGTTCTAAGAACCAGGAATTCTGAAGAGGAGCCAGGATGTCTAATGCTGCGTTCAGAGGTAAAGTGCGGTGGCCGTCTGAACGCACCGTTAACATCACATGTTCCAAGCCGCTCACCTGGAGAAACCGCGTCACGTCGGCGATGACGTTCCTAAAGACATAGTCGTCTTTCTGACAGTCGAACCAACCCAGTTTGGTGATGCGGGCGTACAGCTGGATCAGAGCCTGGGTCACAAACGCTGCCAGCTTCGGCCGCGTAGCCAGGTAGTTCAGCACATAGTTCCCTGTAGATCACAAACAAAACAAAGCTGTTGTTACTAGTTTGGCTGGATGTTCACTGGTACAGCTGCAGATATGGCTCTACTGCTTCAGTGTGATCTCATACCAGTAGCTTAAATGATCATGCAGCAGTAACACCTTACAGACAGAAGGGTCCAGTTCTCCTCACCATTTTCTCTTTAAACTGGACTTTGAACATTAGAGAACCACTGTGGCTACAGGTCTGAACTTTGGAGAACTCAGCCATGGACACCTGAGGTCCACTTTTAAAGAAAAGTCTGGTCATATTCATGATTAAAACTTCTGAAAGTACTTTAAATATGAAATGATTCCATCCTGTTCAATAAATTATCAGTGTTTTTAATTCAGAGTAATTTTCATTTGAATGTGCTTTACTGGAGGCATCCATGCTTGTCAAAGAACACTACTGCCACCTACTGGTTAGTGACGTCACGGTGCGGTATCGGCTGTTGATCAAGTCCCAGTGCTGTATCTGGTGTTTGTCACAACGCGCTATTATCCAAGTCATCTTGAAAACATTCTTCTTCCAAATGTTGGCTACATATTACGGGTTTTTTCTCTGGCCAGAAGTTCGATGGCAAATCCTCCCTCTTCAAGTTGGCGATCCAACGACCAACCCGTCCGTGGAGGATCAGGAATCAGAAAGGTGAAATAACCATTTTTTTTCACTTTTACCCGATGTATTCCAGCATCCAGCTGCCATGCACGTGGGCATTGTCAGTTTCACTATAGCTCTGGTGAATTTCAATGGTGAAGTCCTCTGGGAAATCTTCAATAATTGTTGTTGATTGCAGATGTGTCTAGTAGTTCCCATTGATTTAGCTTGTAAAGCGGGGAGAATGGCGCTAGGCTTACCGCACCGTGACATAGGGGTGGGTATTGCCAAAGAAGTCAGGATTCGATTCGAATCACGATTCACAGGCCACGATGCGATTCTATCACGATGCATCACGATACTTGAATTATTGTAATGCATTGCAATATTTTCTCCTCCATGTTTTGTTTTTGAATGACTCGGCGCAGTATCCCACGGCCGGAAATGCTTGTGACACAAGGCAGCGTGCGTCAACACATTTGCAGCGACATTTACTGGACTGGAAGTTGTATTACACTTCTTTTTGGCTGATGTTCGCCAACCATTCATGCAATTTTATTTAATAATTTTTTAAAAATAATAATCGATACTTGGCGTCAAGAATCGATGCAGTAGATCACGAAAATTAGAATCACGATGCATCATCATGACGATTATTTTGCACACCCCTACCGTGACGTCACTGCTGGAAGATGGCAGGAGGGAGGGGTTACTATATTTGGGCCAAAATGGCCGCTCCCAGACTCAGTGATGACGACAAATTAGTTAAATTTTTTCACTAATTAACGCTAAATTAATCAAATCTCCGCGAAAACAATAGTTTTAGGTATAAATAATGATCCATTGATTATTCATTGCTGACCGGACTTTTCCTTTAAGTTTAACACATCATGTAGGGCAGATATGTGGAAGAAGGAGCCTCATCAGGAAATAACACTGTGGGAAAATTAATCCCTATGGCAACAGGATGGAGGAAGCATGCTGAGGGAAGCTGGCTCTTCAGCAAATAATGGAGCTAAACACAAGAAACCTGCTGGAGCAGCTGAACCATTTTGCCAAAAACTTTTCACTGATTAACGCTAAATTAATCAAATCTCCGCGAAAACAATAGTTTTAGGTATAAATAATGATCCATTGATTATTCATTGCTGACCGGACTTTTCCTTTAAGTTTAACAGATCATGTAGGGCAGATATGTGGAAGAAGGAGCCTCATCAGGAAATAACACTGTGGGAAAATTAATCCCTATGGCAACAGGATGGAGGAAGCATGCTGAGGGAAGCTGGCTCTTCAGCAAATAATGGAGCTAAACACAAGAAACCTGCTGGAGCAGCTGAACCATTTTGCCAAAAACTTTTCACTGATTAACGCTAAATTAATCAAATCTCCGCGAAAACAATAGTTTTAGGTATAAATAATGATCCATTGATTATTCATTGCTGACCGGACTTTTCCTTTAAGTCTAACACATCATGTAGGGCAGATATGTGGAAGAAGGAGCCTCATCAGGAAGTAACACTGTGGGAAACTTAATTCCCATGGCAACAGGATGGAGGAAGCATGCTGAGGGAAGCTAGCTGTTCAGCAAATAATGGAGCTAAACACAAGAAACCTGCCGGAGCAGCTGAACCATTTTGCCAAAAATTTTTCAACCAACTTTGCGATTTTTTTGCACATTTTTTTTTGCAGAAAGCGAAGCATGTGGAAGTTTTACTCCAGGGTTTTCTGTTTTTTCATCACATTGAAAGCCTGCTCGATCACAATCCAGTGCTGCAGGACTTTACTGCGACATTTGCATAAAAAAGTTCTTCTACTATTGCATAGATCTATCTAGTTGCAACTCTGTTGTCTTCTGTGCGACAGCATACTAACTTTAATCACATTACCGCCACCTAAAGGAGACATTTATTGTCTTACCCTTGTTAAAAGAAGTTTTTCCCCCCAGAGCGTCTCTTTATTGAGCTCTAATCTCACTGCTCCCACTCTGCTAATACATTGATAGACTCTCCTCTCCCTCCTTAAACCTGCTTCCATTTTGTTATTTGCAATACTATACTGTTCACTTGCACTGCTGACTGTTACTATAGTAACAACTGTTTAAATTCATCTTACACAACTTACCTCGACTGGAATATTGATTTGCACTGCTGTCTGTTTATTTCCAGTACCAATTGTTTACATATACATTCGCAATACAGTACTTTAACTGTAATATGCAATAACCTTCACTGCACTTTAATTCTGAAAACTTCTGTCCAACTTTTATATATTCATTTTATAGTAATAGCATCGAATATCCTGCACTTGCTGCTATTTAGACCTAAACAGCATTGCTTTTTACCTGTACCTGTGTAATGACAAAGTTGAATCTAAAATCTAAAATGTACCGTGACTAAACCTGAGTACCTCTGTGATTTGCAAATGCAATTAATTGCAAATGCAATTAATTGCCCAGTCCTAGTCCTTCAGAATTTTGACCTTAAAATTATTTTTAAGTATAGCTTTTAAGTCTAAATTATGATTAAATTTCAATAATTTTTTTTCTGGATTCAACCCATCACCCTCAATGAGTTGGGTCCCATCCAGGAATTCAAACCAGCAACCTTACAACCTGCTCTGACCACTTGACCCTCTACCATGACCAAATGTAGAAAGTTAAATTAGAAGCAGAGCTTTGCAAAAGGAAAATCTGTGTTTTCTTACTATATTAAACTTTTTAAAAGTTTTTAAGGATCAAAAACTCAGTTGAGCAGCATTCCCCGCTGCCCATCCAGGTAACCGCAGGACAATGATACTTACGAATATCAATGCGTTGCTCTAGGGGTAGAGGGTTGCTGGTCCGAGAAACCAGTTTAGATAAACAAGTGGCGGCGAGCAGCTGGGAGTACGAGGACTGGGAAGAGAGCAGAGACACAAATATCATTGGTGGATTTGTGATTGGAGCCATTCAGGAAAGAATTATGGAGGTTCTGTCTCCCTGAAGGTCAGAATGATCCTACTTCTAAAGGAGAGGGTAGAAAAATATAAGAATTAAAACAAAACTGAAGTATAATGAAGATTCAAATGAGAGCGTTTTTCTTCCGTAGAAGAACTTCATTAGATAAAACTGAGCAAAAACCTGTTGATTAAAAACTGGAAGTGATTTTAGACATTTAGGGCAGAAATGTGTGAAAGTAGCTGATCTTTGTGGCTGACCTAAGATACTCCCTATCTTTCCAGAAAAGGTTATTACACATGTTGGGATTAATTAATCCCAACGTGTGTGCGTTAACTCCAAGTTAGCAGTCATTAAACATTTATTTTTTTCTACAAGCTTCCTACTGGCAAGCATAGAACTAGGTTATTAGAAGTTCCCGTGCAGACGTAGATCTCAGGAACACTCACGCTGCCTCTCTCCAGCAGCAGCTGACATTTACTGAGACAGTCGGGGCTGTTGGTGAACTCCACCAGAGCTTTCTCTGCCTGGTGTCGCACGGCGGTGTCGGTGGTCTCATACAGCTGCTTACACAGGATCTCCAGCTGGGCAAGGCCCTACAGAGCAGAACACAGGAGACAGGAGTCACACACAGACTGCATCGGGCTTTACTTCAGGACAACGCAAAGATCTCTGAAAAGCATTTCAATTAGAGAGCTGAGGGAGAAACCTGCTGCTGTACAGCAATGACATCAGATTCCTATAGCATGGCAGGCAGGAGACAAAATGCTGAGTCACACTCCGTCACAAGGAGATGGCTGTCATTGATGGATTCAAAATGGCGGCAGTGTAGGCGGAGGAGGACCCGGTTATGGATCCACTGCTCATAGAGAGCAGCAGGCCTCAGTAAACAGGTGTTTGAAAAGAGTTGCATCATGTGCAGTCCCTCTGCAGACCTGAGATAAGAACTCGGCACCAAACCCTGCATGCACACGTGCCATCTGCTGCACCAGATGAGGCGGACATGTTTAATCACCAAAGATAAAACTCCCCGTCAATGAAGCAGCTATGTTTGACTGACCTGCACAATAATTCTTCGGATCCTAAAAACCAAATGAGATCCTAGTCAAAGGATTTAAAACAGACGATCACTGAGCCCCGTGTACCGGCGGCCATGTTTAGCATCAGCACACCACCTGCTATGAATCAGCATTTTCATAACAGATGTTCTGATCTGCCTCTCTCTCAGCTTCTTTCTTTTTAACACTTTTCATTTACACTAGCCCTTTAAAGCCGTGCTGAGGACGGTCCGAGCACGGTAACCAAGGCAACTGTTGGGTGTAAAGCCGGGCATATATTGTGCGATATTTTCAGTCATTGCACGCAGCTACAGCTCAAACTGTACAAAGAAATCCAGAGTTTAAAAGTTCCCACCTCACAATGTTTGTTCTCTCGCTGCGCGAACCGACGCTCCGATGCGATCTAACTGCTCACGCTGTACGTCTAAAGACCTAAAGCTCCAGGTTCTGGTAAATCGGCTCGTAGCTTTGCTTCAACAGCAGACGTAGATCTGCTGTTGAAGCAGAACACCTAATGACGGCCGACTGAATTTCAACACGTTTGATTTCACCCGACCTTACGATTCCCGAACTGGAGGTGGTAACGAGAGGCTGATTGCCCCTTCTTAACCCCTGTATACTACACAACGCACGATCAGGCTGAAAGTCGGCTTGATTGAAAAAAAATTCTCGCATGACTGAAGAATCGGCCCGAAAAGGGCAAAAAAAATCATTGAGTGTAATCCCCGATTTAAAGAACGCAGCCGAACTGGACAGTCTGGTACTAGTTCAACAGTAGGGCTTGGCGCAGTTCATCTGTGGCTCGGTTCTCTGATAACAAAGAGTGCATGAGCAGACTGCTTCATCTCCTATTTAAAGTCACCGACTCATTTCTCAGGTGTACACCTTTGTAGTCGACAGATCCTTCACTTGTTCACAACACCAACTTCTTCTCCGCCTATTAACAATAAATGGTGTCAAAAGAGTGCAGTGTGAGTTGGGATGATGCCGAGGCTCTAACTGAAATTTGGCCGGAGGATGCTATCAAAGCACATAGGCTCCTGATTGCTATGGACGCCGCCATTTTTGTTTGCGTAATTCCAGCCTTGAGAGCTGTAGTCTTAACCCTTTATATGACAAGTTACTGTTTTGGATCACTTGCACAAGCTAATTGAAAAGTTAAAAAGTAAAATTAAAAAGTTAATAAGCCTAGTTAACAATTATATTTAGGTTTATAAACTAAAAGATGTAAGTGCCAGTATCAGCATTGATGCCTCTAAGGTTATGTTGGACCAAAAAAATGTGTTTCTTTCACTCCAAGTGTTTTTCATGAAATTCTTATAGAAGAACTTTTTTTATTTTTGTTAACAGGGCTCGATGTTAACCATCGCCCGATTATTGTCGGGAGAGTACAAATTTCATTGCATTTGCCCGCTGGGAGGTCATTTTGATGTAGTTACCAAAAAGACAAACAAGCTAGAAAGCGCTATGGCAGTCTTCTGTTCAGTGATGCAGGTCATACATTAAAAAATGTTCATTAATTTTTTTTCTCTAAGACATTGGAGAGGTGCATTTAGATGTTATAGAGCTAAACATGTTAAATTGGTGACCTGTTAGGTTATTATTATTGTCTTGTTGCTGCTTTTATTTTGTCAGGGAAACTAATCCTGAGTCAGTTAAAAGTCAGGGAATTCTGAAATTATTTAAGACTGTGGAAACCCTGAATAAAATAACTATGTATAATGATTCTCTAGAAAAGTCACATTATATTAATAGTATTATCTTGTATAAACATACCGTGACTCTAAAATAAAAGTTATTCATTTGTGACATTGACTTCTGTCTTGTGATTTAAGTTTTTAACCTGTCAAGTTTTTTTTTTAGATTTTTAACATTACAATTTATATTTTTCCAAGCACACAACAGTTTAAAGCAAAGTTTATTTTGAAAAGAATGTGCAGGAAGGATTGAAAAGCATGTTAACACAGTAATGAAGGCTTGAGTTCATTATCTGACGCATGCAGATACACACCAGGAACCTGGAAACTTAGAAAATACTGAATTACAAAAAACATTTTTAAAAACAAACATGTTTCATTGATATATATACAAAAATGAATATTAGGAACTATATTTATCAAACATTATACTGGGCAAGTAAAAATTGTTTCTGGGCAAATGAAATGTGAAAGTCACTTGCCCTTTGGGCAAGTGGCAAAAATCCTTAACGTCAACACCTGGTTAATATATTCGGGCAAGTTGGCGTTTCTTGTTGTTATATCGACATTAAATTTTGCCATCAAAATATCCATATTTTTTTAATGTTACAAAGGTAATAAGGTCTTGACCCGGATTCCAATAACACTGTTGGCTTGAATTTTGGCACCAAGTTCCCTATAAGGGCCGCAAGGAACCATACTAGCCTTTTGTGTAAACGGTCGTAAGAACCAAGCTTGGCACGGTTAACTGATCCAAGCTCGGATCGGTTTCAGGGTGGAAATGGGACAAATGTTAGTTTCTCAGGGTTGCAACAGACAGACAGCTTCAGGGTCCCTGACAGCAGCAATGACTCCACTATCCACTCATTAACAGGGCTTAAAGTTCAGCCTATAAAAAAAAAAAAAAAAAAAAAAAAAAAAAAAAAAAAAAAAAAAAAAAAAAAAAAAACTGGAACAGTATAAGGCAAACTGGGCAGACTTTGTTATTAATCAAGCCAGATTTAACCCCCCTCTGTTTTTAATTCAAGCTTTTCAAAGAAAATGTCCTTTTTCCGATTAAAATGGGTAAAAAAAAAAGGCAGCTGATGTGCATCTAACATCGACCAACACAAACATAGCTACTCCTAATTTCTGCAGGACTGATTCTTGGATCGCAATGATTACATTCCTGTTCTCAAAGGCAAGTAACTTAATTAGGTTTCCTTTTATTTCTGTCATTAAATGAAGCGCTGTCTGGGTCCTAAGGAAAGAAAATCCCTCAGCTAATTCTGCTGAGTCATTTAAAAAATAAAAAAGGAAATTAAAAGCAACCCACTAGACTTTGCGAAGTGCAGTTTGAAGATGTTTCGCTTCCCATCCAGGAAGTTTTTTAAATTCAAATGGCAGTGTAGTGCGTACTTGCTCAACACCGAGCCGCTCATTAGCTTAGCATCATTGCCAAAAAATTAGCCAGTCTCTTGCAAAATACAGGCTGTTTCTCAATTCACTACAATGAGTACGGACTCGTATCTTTGCCAAGTGTGTTCTAGAGAAGAACACAGGAAAGTCTGGACTCTGGGAGAACGGGAGCACGCAGCATAAATATGGATCAATTGGATGAGAAGCGTACTGATGACATCACCACGCATTATAATAAATTATGACTTTTTCATTGAGTGAGTGAATCATAATGAACACAGTCAGATAAACACAAATCAAATGAACATTTTGCCAAATAAAACAAAAAACCTCCATCAGAGCCAGCAGTTCTTCACACACGGCTACAGAGAGAGCGATGCTGCAGACGGGCTAACGTGGTTATGGTTAGCCTCGGAGGTCCGCTAGTTTCCACGATCCTCTCAACATCTCAGCTTTTTAAAAAAATTTTTATTATGCAATAAATCAGTAAATGGGCCATATAGTGACGCTTAAAAATATAACGTTCTCACATCAAATGATCTTAAAATGTACTTTTATTGAACAACGGCAACAGAAAACAGAACTTAATACTCTGAGCTCTGTTAGCGCTAACATGGAAGCTAATGCTGCCACAGTGCATGCTGGGACAGCTGTCAGTCTGGAAAATGGACAAGTCTGCTCTGATGCATGCTGGGTAAAGAGGGAGGGGTCAGAACAACATACGGGGACTTTGTCCGTTCTCTGTCTTCTTGTTCTTATGAATTGAACAGTACTAGGGCTGAGGCTGATGACGTTTCATGAGAACGCACAACGTACACAGATTGAGAAATGGCCTACAACTCATGACACCTGCCTCCAATCCAGGTAACTGTAGGGATTCACATCAGCTTTCATGCAACTGTTTGTTTAAACTTGATTGTCCAAAGTCCGGGGTGGCAGGACTTCAATGATTATAGGGTTAGGTAGTTACGAGGTAGATCAGAATTCTGATCCTAGTAGAACTCCTACTGGCCGTCAATTTGACGAGTGACATTTCCCCCCAATAGGAACCCACGAGTAGTGATGATGTCAACAACTGAGATGGTTCTAGTGTGCGATATAAACCCATTGTGGGTATGTGGACCTTCAAACAGGTCTAATATATATATTTTTTTCAAAGGCTGTATTGTATCATTTGCTATTATTTATTATTTGTGTTCTAAATTTATGTCAAAAATAAATCCGTAGAGTAAGACTGTTTTACTGCATAGGTTCAAAGTTTGAAATTACAATTTTCTTTACAGAAATCGATTCCCCACAAACATTTCCCGCAGACCATCTTTTCACACTTATGACAAACGTAATATTAGTTGTTTTTTTTTTGCGCAGTGCTGAAGCACCTGGCACTGCTTTCTGTGCCTCGCCAAAGCTGCTCTTCAGCGGCGGAGGGGCTGGAAACCTGCG